GAGTGACATTTCCAAAAGTAAGTGCCTATGGTAAAGTCAACTATACTGAGCGACATTACCAAAAGAAAGTGCTTCTAGTAAAGTCAACTGTACTGAGCGACATTTCTAAAAGTAAGTGCTTCTAGTAAAGTCAACTGCGCTGAGCGACATCTTTAAAAGAAAGTGCTGCTAATAAAGTCAACTGTATTGAGTGACATTTCCAAAAGAAAGTGCCTATGGTAAAGTCAACTATACTGAGTGACATTACCAAAAGAAAGTGCTTCTAGTAAAGTCAACTGTTTTGAGCAACATCTTTAAAAGTAACTCCTACTGGTAAGGTCAACTGTATTGAGCGACATTTCTAAAAGAAAGTGCTTCTAGTAAAGTCAACTGTACTGAGCGACATCTCTAAAAGCAAGTCCTTATGGTATAGTTAATTGTACTGAGCGACATTTCTAAGAGAAAGTGCTTCTAGTAAAGTCAACTGTACTGAGCGACATTTCTAAAAGCAAGTCCTTCTGGTATAGTTAATTGTACTGAGCGACATTTATAAAAGAAAGTGCTTCTAGAAAAGTCAACTGTACTGAGCGACATTTCTAAAAGCAAGTCCTTCTGGTAAAGTTAACTCTATTGAGCGACATTTGTAAAAGAAAGTGCTTCTGGAAAAGTCAACTGTACTGAGCGACATTTCTAAAAGTAAGTCCTTTTGGTAAAGTTAACTGTACTGAGCGACATTTCTGAAAGAAAGTGCTTCTGGTAAAGTCAACTGTACTGAGCGACATTTCTAAAAGTAAGTCCTTCTGGTAAATTCAACTGTATTGAGCGACATTTCTAAAGGAAAGTACTTCTAGTAAAGTCGACTTAACACAAATTACACATATCCCACCATCCAGATTAAGAATTTTCACTTATCTCAAAATGAATTCATTGAAGTGATTTTAACATATACTAGTAACTTGAAATAAGAGCATGCAGGGCTTCAGAAATAGACAAGTGAATAACCAATTCAGTTTTTGGCACCAGGAGTGAAAGAATCTGTAATAAACATGATAAAGTTTATGTGAAAAGTGTTGTTTTCCAGCTGACAGAATTTCTTTGAAATGTATAGATTGATTGATTGATTGTATTTTGTTTAACGTCCCTCTCGAGAATTTTTCACTCATATAGACACGCCACCACTTGCCGGTGGAGAGCTGCAAATTTTGTCCTATACTCGGCACTTACGGCCATTGAACAGTGAGGGATCTTTTTCGTGCCAGCACCTAATGCGACACGGGACCTCGGTTTATACAGTCTCATCCGAAGGACCGGTCTCCACGTCCCACAGTGGGATTCGAACCCGCGACGTAAGGATCAACTCCTTACTTCGCGACTCTAGAGCAGACGCTCTAACCACTGTTGAAATGCATAGAAGGCAAACCAAAAAAATCATTTTGTACATAAAAAAATAAAGTTAATGTGTAATTAACAGTTTTAAGTACCTAACTGACCAGTGGTCTGACATAAAGTCTGTCATCCATATCAACGTAGAATGATAATATTTAGTACGTTTTAGTACTTGAACTGAACTTCATATGCAATTTTACATTGAGTCTAACTTGTCTACGAAACCTTTAATATATTTATCTTATTTCTTTGCAGTGGGTCTTGGACACTGTCTTTGGCAAATGCTACTTTGAAAGACACTGTTTTGAACAAATGCAGTTCTGCTGACTTCTGAGAATTACTGTGAACAAATACCGCTTCCTTACAAAGAGCGCTTTCTTGGACAATTGAATTGCCTCGGAGAAATACGCTCAATGCCGCTTACTAAACAAGAGGCACTTGTTTCTAACTTTCACGGTAAAACTGCTGTGAACAAATACCGCTCAGTGCTGATTTCTTTACATAAAGCACTCTATTGGAGAAATGTCGCTCAGTGCCGCTGACTTTACCAGATAAGACATTCCTTAACTAATCCTGCTCAATGCCCCTTGCGTTACCAGAAGCATCTTCTTGAAGAAATGTCGCTTAATGCTGCTGGCTTAATCACAATCACTCTCTTGAACAAATACCGCTTATTGCCGCTGACTCTACTAGAAGGACTTCCTAGGATATAAATGTCCTGGACTTTACGAGGAACAATGTCTTTGACAAATCCGCTGACTGACTTAATCAGAAGCACTATTCTGGATAAAAACTAGAAGCACTGTTTTTGAGAAGTGTCGCTCAATACCGCTGACTCTACTAGGAGCAATGTCTTTGACAGATGTTGCTCAGTGTTGCTGACTATACGGTTTGTTTCCGTTTTGCACTCATATAAATTTCAGGTATTGAAAAAAAAAAATGTGTGCAAAACGGGAAATTGACCAGGTAAGGTAATTAATTAATTGCTATAGTCTATATTATAGTTGTGAATTTGGAGAAAGAGAATCTACAGAAAGAATAGGAAGAAAAAAAAATTTTGATATTTTTATTTATTCCTTTAATTTCATAATTAAAAAAAACTATTTAAACATAAAAAAAATATCATACATACTAATCAAAGCTATAATTATTCATCTCATACTAAAATGGACAATTGCAAGTTATTTTTTTATTAATTAAGTTTGAAACATTATAATATATTGTAATGAAACAGGAACTGAAAAAGTAACGGAAGCTATTGAAAAAGTATGAACAAAACTAATTGTACCTTAACTTTAATAATTTTTTTTACACATTGCAGAAAAAGTAGTCACCGAGAAATGATTTTTATTAATAGTAAATTATTTTTGACAACGTCTTTGCTTCTCAATGTCTGCTTCCTCTGTTTAAATGAACTTTTCTTGTCATGGTACCCTGGTGTTAAATACTGACTAAATTCTATCTTGTTTATATCACTTCAAAATTTCATAAACAGCTGATTTCAAAACACAATATTGTAAAGGGATTAATACAAAAGAGAAAAATTACTTCAACAGCTTGTTGGATTTGTTCTACAGCACATAAACAACGTTACTTTTCGACATGACTGGCTCTGTATACCCGTGCAGTAAAATTGCAGCCCGTCATGCAGGTATTTTGCCCACTTTTAAAAGTAAACAACATTGATTTCTGTTCATCAGTACTTTTCCTGGCGTTAAATGCAAAGTACCCTATGTTGAAAATGTACAAGATGAGTTTGATATTTACACCTTTACACACTTTACATGTAATTGCATGTCTCAATGTCCAAGAAATATTTTCCTTTCGTGTATAGAGGGTCCTTAAGGACCCTCTCTACACTGCACCCTAATTTTAGGGTACCTTTGTGTAATTAGACAGACCCATAATTTGACACACACAAAAAATGAATTATAATCTGCATTCTATGACATAATTTAAAATAAATTCAAGTATTCTACACATTATATTAGACCAAGATAGAGTAGTTGAAAACTTTATTTGCTTGGATTTTCTCCATTTGAGAAAGCAAAATCAATTTTTCAAGATTATTACTTCATTGTCTTTGAAGATTTTTCCTGGATAAAAAAGGCAGGCTCCCTATATATAAAATGAATTAGTTAATTTCAAAATATCCTCCTTTAAACTATATAATTTTGGCAAAGTCTAAAAAACATTTTTCATTAGTGTATAGAGGGTCCTTAATTAAATGTCTCTCTGCTTTCTCTGAATCTTTATAGCATTTCAAAACAGGTAATCTGGACATATTTTTCTCTCTCTGGCCTGTTTAAACATTTCTATGCCAGATTTTTGAAAGTGAAATTATAGATTTCAGAAAAAAGACACCTTCTTCCCTCACCCGGCGTCAATTTTAACCCCTATTTTTTTTAAACATTCTATGTCGAATCTACGAGAAGATCTCATACAACTGTAAAAATTAAGTAAAAACTGTAAATTTTACGGAATAATTGTGTCACATCACACAAGTCAATTTACGTGATTATTGGCTGACAAATGCTTACATCCCAAGAGATTTGTATGCCTGAGATCACGGTAGGAATACTTTTGAGACTGCGCGCATGGTCATACCACTGCTTATAAAACATTTGACAATTAATCTATATGAACATATGACTTGTAGTTCATTCTGTAGACAGCGGTCTTAATTTTAGAAATTAGAGCGCAGTCCACGAACTTTTTGATAACCCCTATATGTAAACTATATATGTTAATAGTGTCCGACATGCTTCTCTTAACATCTGTGGCTGAGTAACCTTGACGAGCCTCTCAAGCAGGGATTTCTGTTCACTTTAATATAACGATTCCATTTGATAAGATACCCCTTCTTGCACAGATCGAAATCATACTTGAAATAATCAGAATTAGCGATTTTCTGAAGTTGGGGGGATAGATAGCGTTAGAACCAGGGGACACAGATTTTCACACATTATTTCACTCATTTCTTTCCTACTGTAAAATTGGTGCTTCTTTCTACCCAGCATACTTGACTCCTCGTATCGCATGTGACAACAATTAAGAATTCAATTTTAATTATTAAAAAAGCGTTGAGAATTTCGCGTTGTTTTACCACATGTTTGCTAGAGTGGATATCGGTCATATGATATCGTTATCCATATCCACATTTGGTTTTTGCGTCAAAGTGATAAAGTCAAATTAATTGGATTCATATTTTTGTTAAAAAAAAGTATAAAATGTGTAAAAAATACGTGTTAAACATGTGATAAAAAGAATGAATTATGAATTGTTTTTTTAATCGTGTTTTTTTTTAATCCTCGAGCTTTGGCTAAATACACAACCTGTTAAAAGTTAACAAGGATAAAGCGGAAACGAAAGCATTGTAAATAGATACAAACATAAAAACAAAATGATTTAAAACTAAAACATTTAATTGATTGGCCATAATGCCATAATCATGAATTATTGTGAGACTTCTCTTTGCTATCACAGTTTTACTATGCTCCATGACGAGATAATGGACTATGAGTAATTTCAAATATTCTCGATGTTTGGCAATAAAACAGACATCGTTTAAATTGTTGATTTTACGATGATTAGTATAATGACAATCAGTCCATTAGTGGAATGTAACGATTAATTGTGTAATTTGGTCAAGCATATTGATGAAAAAATTGTGCAAAAATCTGTTTTGTTTGATTAATTATGCGACAAACAATAGAGGCAAGTTTGGTCTACCTAGGATCGATATTCGGCGATGAATTAAGCCGCGTTCTGTGATGCTAGTCGCGTTCAGTTCGGGTGCGCCAGGGACGTAGAGTGCGGCCCAATACTATTCTATTATTAATGCGGATAGAACATGTCGCATTGTGACAGCTATTGATATAATAACGGAGCAATCGTGGTGAAGCTTATCTCATCAAATAGAAGGAGAAAAAGAAAATCTTTATATTTCAAATAACAAGTGAACATAAAAAAATGGTAAGTAAAATTTATTGAACTTTTATTTATTATTTAAATTATTAACTTTTTTGTAAGATTTTCGAACGAAATCTTGACAATTAATTAAGAGAGGCTGCAGTCTAGAAGTTTTCGAATTCAAAGTACTTGAAATACATTTAGGTTCATAATGGTACATATACACGTAGTACTTATGATAATCTATAAAAGAAGTGTTTAAGAAGTCGAGTGATCGTGGATCTAACGTTACCGACATCGATTCTGTGGTTGTAAATATGTGAGCAGAACAAACAACGGCAATGGAACCAATTTGTTAATTTTTGTAAGAAACATTTGAAAACAAAATCGATTTGGAGAAATCCTTACAAGGATGAATGATAACCTCCTAATCACTTTATCGCCGTGGAGCTTGAAACAGCTGCAAGAATTAGAGACATTGACACATTTCTTTAGCCTTGATAAATGCACCTTTTCAAGCATTAATCAATTACTCACTATTCTATTGTTTTTTTTTTTAATTGCATGGAATAGTTTCCTTTTCATATCTGTTTTCCTTTCCATATTATAACATTTTTTTTTATTAATTGCGTGCTCTATCATTCAATCAACGGAGGAATGTTTTAAAATAGTACAGTTAACGCTATGTTTAATAGACTTTTATATTTCAAGAGATACATTTCCTTTTAAATAAGGACAAAGTATTGGATATGAAATGAATTTGAAATCAATTTGAAATATGATTTTTCTGTTTATTTTACTATGCTTTATTTAAAATAAATAAGGTCTGGAATTCAGACTTTCGACATTAAAAATCAGTCCTCCGTTATTAAATCCATATTTTCAATAAAATTTCAACAATCTGACAAATGCACATCATAGTTAAGCGTGTACTTGTGTTCCTACACATATTCTCTTGATTTCTTAAAAAAAAGTTATTTAGTTTCTTATTCGTTTTCAAATAATTTTAATATATCACGTTTTTTTCATATTGTTTACACCATATACATTTAGTGCGTTTTAGATAAGGCAAAGTGTCCATAATCATAATATTTTTAGGCATACCCATATTCTGGTATACTTTTACTATAATTTAAGGATTTTATCGGCAAGGCATACAAGTAAATGGTATGGGTTGATGCCGAGAAGAGGGAAAACTTTAGCACGCCAAGATAATTGCATTATTACAATCGATAAACTCTACTTGAAAATACAATAACAACATATGATTTTGCATTGGCACGTTTTCTTTTAACTCTTGCATATTTAATGTTTTTCCCTCATTTATCAGCGTTTAGACTATCGATCACGTTGCTCTATCGTCACGCTATTTGGTACTCAACTGTGTCTGATTGGGACTTTGCTCAAAAAATAAACTCGCATTAACAGACCGACATTCTGGTCACGTGACTGATACATCGCACGGCTTTCAATAAACCAGGAATATTAATCTATGTTTACCATTCATTTGGGATCTGAAATAAAAGTATTCCCTCCACAAACATATCCTGTAGGGAGTTCTTTGTATTTATGATCGCTCTTTAATCGATCAACGCAACTTGCTATCATTAATATTAGATGTTCCGAAACTGAAGGTATATTTCACTAATAATTGGTAAAGCAATGGGCATGGTATTACATATAGCCAATCCTTTTGTTCTTTTACAATCAATAATATGTTATTGTTATATCAAATAATAGTTGCATACTTTCACGCTTCAGAGGCGTCAATAATTGAATTTGGCACAGCTGGAAGACATTAATTCGAAATATGCTCGAACACGTTCCTGGTACACTCTCTGTACACTATATTTAAGGTTATCCCTAAGCAATACCCTTTACCCCAGGTCTCATGGTTCTTTTCTTAACTGTCTTTTTAAAAAACATCAATATATTTTATATTATTCATTTCACTGGAATTACTGAGTATCTCACAAAATGACCATTTTCCTTTCATACATAGAAGAGCTAGCTTATTTGCCCAGTCGTGCTTGATCAACTGAAACGATTTATAGAAATCGATGAAGCAGAGTTTAAAAAGCAGATTTTTAAGGCCAACAGAATTAAAGCTACAGTCACCTTTCTTTTACATCGGGAATAATTGAACAATGCTCTCAGCTAGTTTTAAGCCAAGTTTATTTGGGATCCCATTGAATCAATTATGAGTTGATCTACTCTTTTTTTTATTGCGATATAAGTGCAAAGTCTAGGAAAAACATTTTCTAAAAGTATCATATACCGATTACAGTAGATTCAAGATGGTAAAACGTAAAGTTAGTGAAGGTAAATTTAAGGCTGATGAGTGGAATATTCTCATTATTAACAATCGCCTAACAAACAAGCGAACTCATTTATCCTTCAGCAAATTATGCATTTATAAGCTTGTTTACATTGAAACGTGTATCACTTTCTGTATTTTTTTTTTATTAGAATGACTGTAAAATACACTACATGAAAATGTCTTTTTAGGCACAAAAAGAACAAATCAAGCTATCTGACGAACAAGTTGCAGGTGAGTTTCAACTGTTTTCAGCAGTACTCACTTAACATCGATAGGTACCACTCTCGAGCTCAGTGAGTCCGTGATATTTTATACATTTAATGATAAAATATTTTTTGAAAAGAAATCTAAAGAAACCACCCCAAATATCATTGATTGACGTATGTGAAATATCAATGCTCATACTAAAAAAGTAAATCAACGTAAATAATTAAATCAAATTGATATCAACACTAGCTATCCACTTCCTAATTAATGATAATATTTTCCGAAAATAGTCATTATTTATACCAAACTTTATGAACTAATAGATATGTTTTCTGTAACACAAGTTTTCATTTTTTAAAAATTTTATTAGAATTCAGGGAAGCTTTCAACTTGTTTGACAAGGATGGGGACGGAAGTATAACAACGACAGAGCTGGGTACAGTTATGCGCAGTCTCGGACAAAATCCCACCGAAAGCGAGCTCCAGGATATGATCAACGAAGTGGACTACGACGGTACGTGTTGTCATTCACTTCATGTCGCTGACCTGTCATTGGATTGTATAATGAGATCCTGTTTCTGTCTCGGCTTACTGGTTGTCACATCTATTTGTTTGTTCATTGTTTTTAAAAATGGTTATCGGACTGCATTCATTGCACGAATGACAAAGTCAGAATTTCTCAGATTCGTTCCTTTTTGACACAAAAAGACGTCAAAGTGATAAAACATATTTGTCACTTTCTTAATGCCATACATGTACGAACAAATGCAGTCTTAGATTTCCACTATTTATACATTTATTCCATGATATAGAATTGATAATTGTCATTAGTGGAGAAGTATAAATTTCATACCGATGATCGAATCATTCGAAATACATTTAAACCTTTAGTATTCATTGATCATTGAAGGAACTAGCATTCAGTTGGGAATTTGAGATCGATTATAAGAGAACTATAAAGGTTTAAAAACTGTCATCACTTTATTCACTATGTTGAAAAGTGTAACTCCCTGTGAGTAGACAGTTACTACTATTTTTTTTATCCCTTCAGTTTGCTGTATTAATAAAATTAATGCATTCTATAAGTGATAACCAGATGACCTCTCAATGCTCTCATTTTAAGCATTAACCATCTTACGAATGGAGACTGAGTATTTTCTGGACTGATGTGTTATTCTTCTGCATTGTATAACATTTATGGATTAAAGAAATATGTAATATCTTCTTTAAAGACCTTTTATAGGTACACACTATGCCTAGCAAACGTATCTTATCGATATAAAATTAACTATATACGTCTAAATACCATCTAAAGCTGTTTATAAAGATTGGTTAAAATCTTATTAAAGTAAGATGTATTCTTGATAATACTTCTAAAAGGTATGTTTAAAAAACATCATTCTGTTGATAACTATCTTTCAGAAAGCGGAACGATCGATTTTGACGAATTTCTTCAAATGATGGCTCGTAAGATGAGAGATACAGACACTACAGAAGAATTAAAGGAAGCCTTCAAAGTGTTCGATAAGGACGGTAATGGATTCATAAGCGCTTCCGAATTACGTCACGTGATGAAGAGTCTCGGAGAACGACTCACAGACGAAGAAGTTGATGAAATGATCAAAGAAGCGGATCTAGATGGTGATGGTCAGGTCAACTACGAAGGTAATTTAAGACAAAATGAGACACATTGTATTAGTAACAATAGATCCTTCATGCAATATTGAACGACACTACTGAAATATTGATAGGTATGCAACATTACTGGATACATAATTATATCAAATTTCACGGCCACGCACCCTCATTGATCAATTCTTCTTTTGACAAATTCATATTTTGTAGACGAAAATCCATTCGTCATTCATTAGGCATGAAAAACGCACATTCATCTTAAAAATAAGTCTATCTTAAATACATTCATTAGATGTCAAAAAGATGTATTATGACTGATGTTTGAAAACTTTTAAGAGTATGGAGGTTAAAGGACAGTTTGCAAGTCAATCTAAATCTTTAAAAAAAAATTTTGTTTTAAAACATCAAAAGCCATAGAAGTTTAACTGAAATGATTGTAGACATTAAGTAGTACTGCCCCCTCCCCTAATTTTGCGATATATAGATTACTATAGAAAACAGAGCTATTTCATACTTGTGCCCCCTCAATAATAATGTCTGATGACCTTTATTTTTATTATTATTAATTTTAATTAATTTATTTTTTTATACGCTTGTCAATAAATTATTGCTTGGTGGTGTCCCCCAAACTGGAAATGTTTGGTTGTGCTCCTAATTGAAATTGCTTCCCACGGGCTTGTAATTTTAGTACATAAAAAGTAAGTCATTTACGTTTAACACTGATATGATTGTAAACACTTACACATACCATGTCCTATACCAGCCACCGTAGGTTTAAGTTCAAGCTGACACATTTTTATATAGATTTAGACTTACAGCTATTACTAAGTTTAAAAAAAAATATTTGTCAACATATTTTTATCATTTTCTGAAGGGTATCTGGAAGCATTTCTAGGTTTACAATGTTCGGGTGTAGATGCTGATTTAAAGATATTTTGTTTCTTTCAGAGTTTGTTAAAATGATGGCATCTGGGAAGAAAGACTCTTAGAAATCAACAAACAGGAAATTGAGTGAATGCTAAGAGAAATGAATTTTATCAATCTGCTAACGAAATTCAGATCATTGTTGAAAATGGACGCCTGACTGAAAATCACATACCGGTGTTCAACACTGTTGAACTACATGATCGAATCAATACTTGTGCGAGTGAATGAAATTTACGTATCATATTTTTCAAGTTTGTTGATAAAAATAATGCTCAAAACTGCTGGTTTGGTGAAGATAATCCTAGTTAGACTATTTTATACCGTGTGAACACATTTCTATTGTCTTATCACAGTTCAATTTTTATGGATTTTATTTCATATACTGAGTATACATTTAATGTTTATGGATCCCAAAGCACAAAGTAATTAATTTTTCATAGAGAAGAAAAGAATTATAAAAGCATATTGCGTTTTATTATTTTTTTATTCATTTTATTATTTTTAATTTTTTTATTTCAAGAATTTTATGTATTGTGTTCCAGGCATTTCACTTGTCAATTTCAAAACGATTTGTAGCATTTATTATCTTGGTCATAGGCACTTTTATTATGTCCCTATATTGACTTCATATTACATGTGTACTTCTTCAAATCGAATTTTTTTAAAATCTTGAATAATCACTGTTTTGTGTAAAAAAAAAAATGAATAAAGTAGCATAGTAAAAGAATTAGTGTTTCTTTTTTCTTACCCAAACTTGACATTTGTTGTAGGTCAATATAACAAGTGCATTTTGGAAGAAATTTTTTTGATTGGTAATCCAACTTACACTCATTTTTAGTTCCCTTTCTTTAATGGTAATCTAACAACCAAGCTTTATGATAAACGTGATGACTTTAACTTTTCAATCATCTTCCCTTTCTTATGCAGCAATATAACTTCATCACCTGCATACGGGGTTTATATCTCTCAGTTGATTCGATACGCAAGAGCATGCTCTACGTATGTACAATTTCTAAAACGAGGTAAATTATTGACAAACAAGTTGGTAAAACAGGAATATCAGCAGTCTCGTTTAAAGTCATCATTTCGTAAGTTCTATGGTCGATACAATGACCTTGTCAGCAAATACAATTTATCACTGAGTCAAATGCTGACTGACGTTTTTCAAACTAATTGTTAGACCATTATTTACACACTGAATTGTCGACGGATTTTTCCGTTATTTCCCGATCATGACAAGGAGCACACGGCGGGTATGACAGGTCGGCAGGGGATGCTCACTCCTCCATGGCACCTGATCCCACCTCTGATGTTTGCTCTGCTCCTATTTTGTATTGTTTAATGGACTTTTGAGCTTGAATACTGTTCGTTATCTCCATATATTTTACGAAAACTCTTGCCGTGGCATTTAAATTGACATCATGATATATTCACAATATGAATTAATAAAAAATATTTTCATTCATGAATATGTAGACTGAATATATCCCAGTGAAGTCGAAATAAATTACACCACAGAGTCTGCCACATCTGATTCATCCTTGGATGTTACACTGACTACATTTATTAATGGCCAACAAAAAGTAAATTATCTTATAAACTTTTCCATGGTCAACTATCCCTTTTTATGAAGTTATACATATAATTTCCACTTTCACCTTTATATCGTGTTTATGTCTCTCAACTAATTAGGTACGCAAAAGCATGTTCCAAGTACGATAATTTTTTTAACCGAGGCAGGGTTTTGAAAAAGGATGTTACATGTATAGGGCTTCAATTTTGTTTCGAGTCAGCATTTTGCAAATTCAATGGTTGCTGTAATGATCTTATTTCCAAATACTGTAAAACATCGTTCAGTCGAATTTTTACTAACACGTATCCTACAAACTGTTGGGCCGTTGTTTTTATATCAATTTTAACTACTCAGTACTGTTCACTACGTTCACCTGATCACTACAGAGGGATTATGGCGGGTGTGACCGGTCGACAGGGGATGCTTGATCATCCTAGGCACCTGATCCCACCTCAGATGTTTTCAGGGGTCTATGTTTTTGCTCTGTTTACAATTCGTATTGTTTACAGAGTTTTTAAGATTAATCAATATTTGTCTTCACCTATTTCCATAAAACCTCCATGCGAAAAGATATCAAGCAAGACATGTAGCTACTTGCTGGCAAAATTATTTCTCAAAATTTGCTATTGTTGGTTTTCAAATTACATCCCATGTAACTTTATTATTATCTTCAAACTTTCCTTTGAGATATGAATGAAATCTGATAAGATCGATAATAATCTAAAAAATGAAGGGTGGCTTATTCATTTTTAAACCTTTAAAATTTTCTCCGAACCATCGAAAAAATGAATTTTATATATATATATATATATATATATATATATATATATATATATATATATATATATATATATATATATATATATATATATATATATATATATATATTAATATATATATATATATATATATATATATATATATATATATATATATATATATATATATATATATATATATATATATATATATATAACGTCTCAGGACGTTTGAAAATCCGACTTTAAATAAAATTTTCTGATTCTGATCAGAGTATCGATATCTACTTTAAAGAACGCGATTGGAGAAGATCCCCCCTTTGCCCTGAATTTGGAGTTTTGAAAAATCAATGATAGCATACACAGAGGTCACAGAAATGTCAAGAAATCTGTCAATTTCCAAACTTTCTCTCAGAAAATGTTGGGTTCAACCTTGCCTATCTACCAAATTTAGATATTTCATGCACCAGTATCAGAAAAATCTTGTGTATGAAAATCTCATATAGGCAAGCTTGTGCTTTGTGTTTCCCGAAATGAAAAGTATCTAAAATGTGACGAGAATCGAAGAATAAATGTTAAATAATCAAATCGTCCTCCTCATGTTGCTATCTTGTACACTATGAAATAAAATCAATACTGGTTTTAAAACAAGCGTCATTTTTAGTTTTAAAATTGCAAATTATCGGATTTTTACTGCGTTTTGATTTTTGTATCAAACAGGGGACTAAACTCGGCCATTACCATATCTAGTCTTTTACGTTTCAGGATTGTTTAAAAACAAAAGTATTTTAGATTTTTTTCTTCATAAAATACATTAAGTATCAATAGATGTTTAGATGGAGCAAAAGTTTACATTTCTTTTCAGTATATGTATATTTATTTAATGACACAAATAATTTGCAAGATTCCATTACAAGGAAACTTTAAATGTTATCATGGTACCTTCACCGGAATATGTTCGAGGGCTCAGTGTTAAAGGAAAAACTATTGGACCTTGTATTTATAATTATAGTGACATTTAAGAGTCCTAACGAGCTGTGGTATGGGTATCGATCTTTACACATGTCTATTCAACCGGTCTTTGTACGAAGAGATTTAAATTCAAGGTTATTCGACCTTCCCCTATTGAAATACTGCCATTAGCAAAGATTTTAAACGATTATGCGGTTATGGTAAGCCATCTTTGTTTACTTCTACCTGTATTTAGTTCTTTCAAATTAGATTTATTACAAAACCTTATGATTAGCTCAGATTATCAGTGGAACTATGATAAAAGTAGATTAGAAAGGCAACCAAAAATATAAACCCTGCCAAGAGTCTATTGAATTCATTTTACTGTAGAGCACCTTACACTCTTGTCAAGTTTTTTTAAGTTTGTAAACAAAACTTGGATATCTGTAACCCCTGGTTGTTGTCTTTTGAAATGGATATGTGAAAACGCACTCTAAAACTTACTGGATTCCATGATAAATACAAACTAGAAAGAATTAATAATGCCACCGAAAAAGGTTGTTAGGAGAAAGAAAAAGAAACCAGTTAAAAAGGTAATTTGGAAACTAAGTGAAACTGCGCAGGATGTGCATCTTCGATTCTGTTTCTCAGTGTTTGTTTTTTCGTATTTTAGGAGCCTGTCATAACCGATGAGCAAATAAAGTGTAAGTCATTATTTTTCTGAATACATGTATCACCAATTTTATTGGGAGAAATAGTAAATAAAATCTATATGTATGTAAAGTTTGCCTTGACCTAGGAGGGAATGTATATAAAAAATCACTTTATATACAGAAAATATAACTGCAATTTGAAATTTATCTTTTACTTCATATTTGTTATAAAGTGTACCAGCAAGTGTTCAGACGTTTTGATAAGGATAAGAATGGGACGATATCCGTAGAGAACTTGGAAAAAGTCATGAAGGCTTTAGGCCAGGATATTGCCCATGACGACATTAAATCAATGATACAGGAGTACGACAGAAGTGGTAAGCTTGATTTTTATGTTCTACATTTGTAACAAAGATTTCATGATATCTATAGTTCACGTGTAAAAATGAATGGATATCGGGAAGGAAAACCTGATTAATTTCGCAAATAAATAATATAGCAAACGAAAGAGCGTACACATGTAGTTTATCACTTAAAGGAATACATTTGATTTCAACTAAGGAATTATAATTTGATCATACTGAGTGAGAAACCCTCTGTAATATGTTTAAAGTGTTTAATATTTTGTGTAAAAAAAACTACATGTATTCTACAAGTCTTTTGGGGTCCTGGGGAATATATCTAAAATATTTCAGATTTTGTGTAAAAAATACATGTATTTTACAATTCTTAAAAGGTTCTTATACAATGTGTCTAAGTAAATGCAAATAACTTAAGACTTATCATAATGAACAGAGTGAGTACAAATCAATGATTACGGAATGGATTTCAGTGATATGGCCTTGTCTCTTTTAAGCAAATGGTTTCATAAGCTACCTCGATTTCATGGAAATCATGGTCAAAAGAGGGGACCAGACAGAAATTATAACGGAGGAAGAATTAACAGAGGTGTTCAGCGTATTCGATATGGATGGTTGTGGGACGATCACTGCTCATGATCTTAGAGAAGCAATGGCGGCCCTGGGTAATGGCATCACAGAACAGGAAGCAGAAGAACTTATACAAAAGGCTGACAAAGACGAGGACGGATTAGTTAACATAACAGGTGAAATAGTATATGGTATATTTTGAACATACTGAAAAATACATAATCTTACAAATACTGTTTTGTTTCAATTAATCTTTTTAACATATGATCTTTTATACGTATATCTATTTTTCAGACTTCGTAAAAATGATGATTACTACGTGAAAGACATTCTTGTTAAAAAAGGGATACGCAAAACGTTCATTTAACATCAAATGATGTGCAATTTTTCATCTGTGATATAGAATCATATTGAGTAAGATGTAAATAACAACATAAACAATCAAGTACGCTATGTTCGAGGTTTGTTTCCATGACATCTGAAAAAAACGCAGAGTGACAATTTTGCGCTTTGTCAATGCTTTTGTGATAGATTACCTGCATTTTTAATGGTTTATTTTGATTTTCTTTGAAGAAAATTTTCAGAAAATACAGCTGTATATACGTGTATGTCTTTATTGTTACTATGATGTGGCGTGACTATCAAATGTCATGGACTATGAAGATAACAAACAGTATACAAACTCAGAAGTCCATTCAAACAATAGAAATCAGGAGCAGAGCAACTTCTAAAGCATCAGAGGTGGGATAAGGTGCAATAGAGGAGTGAGCATCCCCTGCCGACTGTTCACACCCGCATGTGCTCCTTGTCATGATCGGAAAAGACGGAAAAATCTGTAGACATTGCAATGTGAACATAATGGCCTAACAATCTGTATGAACAATTTTCAGTTAACATTCGACTTAATGACAGATTTTATTTGCAAACAAGATCATTGTATCGACCATAGGCTATGCGAAATGTTTACTTTAAAGGAGATTATTGATATCCTTGTACCATCAACTTATTTGTAATATGCCTCGTTTTAGAAAGTGTTCGTATGTAGTAAATGCTTTGCCTATCGAATCAACTGAGACACAAACTCCATATGCAGGTGATAGTGGAAATTGCTATATGAATAGATGAAGTTGACGATAGAAAAAATGAAGACATCACATTTATCATAAAGTTTAATTGTCAGTTTGCCATCAATGTCTTTTTCTGACTTTTTTTAAAATCACCCAAATATGAAACAGATGTGTCTTCTATTTCGAGTATCCTTCGAACTCATGCTGAACATATCCATCATTCTGTGAAAGGTTAATATACACATCGTAAGTTAAACTTATGCTAAAGGTAATCAGCACATTATATATATTTATGTTTCCTCATGCTGCACAAACTCACCGCAGCTCTGTTTTTGCTGAGTTATAATCAATGAAATCAACACCAATGTTGAGATGAAATATGTCATTTATTAAAAATGACGAAAATAAGAAATATATATACATAAACATGATAGGGGATCAGACCAAAAGGTATTCACACAATACATATCAATATGCTGATCCCCTAAATTTACCGATAAACAATATTTGCAAAAAATATAAAAAACAGTAAGTATACAGCAAAAAGATGGCACATCAAAAATAAATATGCCAGTAAAATTAAAATATATAAATGCAAAATAAGGTAGGAAAGACAGGGGTGGTGGTGGGTGTGCCAAATATTTTGTTGTTATTAGTAGCATAGATGAGGCGAGAATGACCCAACGCTGACTGGTCAGCCACCGACAGCATCAAAACACGTGACCATGATGGTCATTTCTGATTGGCTATTAGCTTGCATAGGGGTAAGGTTTGACCATGGAAAATTTTGGAGTTGTGTAACAAGTAGCCGAAACTGAAGAAATGGGGAAAATTGCATAACGTGCACCTGACACCTGCAAGGCATGGGAGAATTCAAGCCGATGAAGAAAAATCAATATATTGAGATTTAAAACAATACAAAATACAATATTTACTTACTTACATTTAAACAAAAGAAAACTAGACAGCATTCAACACATAAATGAAATTATTTACATAATTGTTGTTTTATGTTTCCTCATGCTGCACAAACTCACCGCAGCTCTGTTTTTGCTGAGTTATAATCAATGAAATCAACACCAATGTTGAGATGAAATATGTCATTTATTAAAAATGACGAAAATAAGAAATATATATACATAAACATGATAGGGGATCAGACCAAAAGGTATTCACACAATACATATCAATATGCTGATCCCCTAAATTTACCGATAAACAATATTTGCAAAAAATATAAAAAACAGTAAGTATACAGCAAAAAGATGGCACATCAAAAATAAATATGCCAGTAAAATTAAAATATATAAATGCAAAATAAGGTAGGAAAGACAGGGGTGGTGGTGGGTGTGCCAAATATTTTGTTGTTATTAGTAGCATAGATGAGGCGAGAATGACCCATCGCTGACTGGTCAGCCACCGACAGCATCAAAACACGTGACCATGATGGTCATTTCTGATTGGCTATTAGCTTGCATAGGGGTAAGGTTTGACCATGGAAAATTTTGGAGTTGTGTAACAAGTAGCCGAAACTGAAGAAATGGGGAAAATTGCATAACGTGCACCTGACACCTGCAAGGCATGGGAGAATTCAAGCCGATGAAGAAAAATCAATATATTGAGATTTAAAACAATACAAAATACAATATTTACTTACTTACATTTAAACAAAAGAAAACTAGACAGCATTCAACACATAAATGAAATTATTTACATAATTGTTGTTTTATGTTTCCTCATGCTGCACAAACTCACCGCAGCTCTGTTTTTGCTGAGTTATAATCAATGAAATCAACACCAATGTTGAGATGAAATATGTCATTTATTAAAAATGACGAAAATAAGAAATATATATACATAAACATGATAGGGGATCAGACCAAAAGGTATTCACACAATACATATCAATATGCTGATCCCCTAAATTTACCGATAAACAATATTTGCAAAAAATATAAAAAACAGTAAGTATACAGCAAAAAGATGGCACATCAAAAATAAATATGCCACCAATTATATATATTTATATAAACCTGTGAATAGGCAATGGGATCCATGTTCTTTTTCTTTTTGGTTTGTGGATGTTTTTCACTACCAGATTTCGTATAAAATCTGTTCATTGAAGGATGTCGTTACCTATCATGTCACTGCCGTTTCTCGGATAAAATATCATGCCTGGCATCCCCTGAACATTATCAAATGAAACATGTTAAGTATATGTATCAATTCCCGATACAGAAAAAAGAACTCTAACGAGATGCCTATCAATTTATGGTGATCACTGCTTGATATTAAATTACCTTCATTAACTGTTGTCTGTTTCTGCCCAATGCATATGGACTTTGTACCGTGATAGCTGTCCCACCTTACACAAATGCATACGATAAATGGAATACATCTTCCTAACGTCTTACACCGTCGGATGCTATCTACATCATGTCAAGTAAAGCAAGTCACCTGTCATCAAATAAGCCTTATATTTCAATTGGGCTGTGTTACTTTTTACCAAGTATACGTTTTCAAATGGACCATGTTTTTGTTGTACGTTAAATGTTATGACGTCATGTCTTATTATTATTACTATAATATATATATATATATATATATATATATATATATATATATATATATATATATATATATATATATATATATATATATATATAATTTAGCTAATTTAGCTCTATATGTATATGTTTACTATTAGCCAATTATCGTTAAATGGAAAAGATATAATATGATCACCAGGTGCTTTTGTTTTATGACGTTTGACAACGTCATCGCCCCTCGATGTTCCTTCCTACTGCCTCAATATACTTTTCTTGACGAGACATCCTTGTATTAAAACTGATTGAAACTCATCTTGTTTATATGACTTTAAAATTTCATGAACAGCCGATTTCAAAACAAAATATTGAAAATAAACCTACACTTAAGATGAAAGATTCTTAGTTGACTTTGCCTTAATCCGCTCGTTGACGTTCAAATTAAATTTTTAAGGCACACGGGCAATGTTACTTTTTGACATAACTGACTTAATTTGGACACCCGGTCCGCGAATCAGCATTAAATGTGTCTCTTCTCTCTCTGAATCTTTTGTGCCTTTTAAAAATGAGTAATCTGTACAAATTTTGTCTTCTCCATTGGTCTGTTCTAAAGTTTCTTAAGTCTATGTGAGTTTTTCAAAACCCCTTAACCAATAAGAGTTTAGTACTCTCTTTTGAATTAACGGTAAGATCTCACAGATCTGAAAAATTGAGGTAAAATTGTAAATTTTACGACAAGGTTATGTCAAATCAAACTAATGACTTCAATTGATTATTGGATGACAAATGCTCATTTCAAAGGATATGTTCATTTTATACTCACAAAGAAATACCTCGTACTTTGAGGTTGCGCCGTGTGGAGATACCATTGATTAAGGAAACATTTACAATTTATTCAAAGATCAACCGTTTGACTTATAGTCTATTCTGCAGGTAGAAAATATGATTTTAAATAAATGTGTATAATTCATTGATGTATAATAAGCGGTATTAATTTTATGACGTCAGTCCATGAACTTTTTGACAATCCCTCCTACGTTTAGTTTAACTATAATTAACTATAATTAACTATAATTATTAACATGATTTAAATTTTCGATAGACCCTTGAAATCGTGTTTCTATTCCTTTACAAGATTAATTAAGACTAAGAATTAATTCATTGTACAATTAATTTGTTTAATTAACAATATAACCGAATCATCAAGTCCTTTACAAAGTGAATGAGAAATAAATGATAGAAAAGTTTGTAAGATATGTATTAGTAGGAATGTTATATGTTCTGTTCCTATTTTAATTTTATTAGTAAAATCAACATGGGAATTTAAAGTCAAAGTTTTATATGGACATAACGGAAGAATTGCATAGATTTTGAGATATCTGGATGATTGTTTAATAATATACGTATATCTTTAACTTCGTGACGACAGATACACCATTTATCTATTGATTAAACTATTTTGACAGCGAGCTCTACAAAATTTTCACACTTTTCAAGATATAAAAGACTGGGTTTTAAAAATAAAAAAGGTGTATAGCTTGTCGACTAGAAACCTAAAGCCAAAATGAATTGATTAAATTGATAATGATTAAAATCCAGAAAGTAAGACATGTTCTTCGTGTGAAATATAAGATAGAAACCAGTGCACCTCACCAGCTGACAAGACATATACCGCGGTGTACTAACTGCAATTTGGCGGAATGGCTTAGAAGAAGGTTGTGAAGACGACTGTCTGTTTTTCTCGTAAGATGGTGAGGCGTATTCTTGATGTCTTGATATATATATTTTATGATACATGTATCATGAAAATATTACCAATCGTCTAGTATTTTAAATTGTAATCTTTTTTTACAGTGTATTTTCTGCTTATGTTTATATTGATATAAATGTCCTTTTATAGGCAAATGCTTGGCCCGACGTATTAACTGATGAGCAAGTTACAGGTAGGATTATATTTTTTATTTCTCTGTCAATTTGCTGGTTGTTTAAATGTTAATTTCAGAAAAAGAACATGTAAACATAGTAAGCAATGGATTCATCCTACGCAGTATATGAAATGTAAATAGAAAAAAGCAGTTTTATTTTCCTCACTAAAAGATTTGAATTAGAGAAATGTATAGAGACCATACATTTTCTATCAATGACTGTTAAACCTGTCCCATCATTTCTCTTCTTACCGTTTAATTAAACAGGCTATGAAGAGACTGTAAAAACCTTTCATTTAAATACTTATATAATACAATGTCCTTAAACTGAAGGTGAGAAACAAATTTCTCTATTTAGCTTTTATGTAGTAGGTGTTACCGTGATGATATAAGTCGTGTAGCATCTTTTAACTACATAACATTATCTAAGATTTGAATGTTTAGAATTTCGCGCTGCCTTTGAAATGTTGGACACCAGTGGGACGGGGAAGGTGGCAATATCGCAACTTCCCGATATCATTCGCAAAATAGATCCTACAGCAAGACGATCAGATATCAACAACATGGCAAAACTTCTGAATAAAGATGGTATTATATAATGTTCTTTTTAGTTAATAAATATTTTCAACAAATAAGATCAAAATAATGTTGTTGAACCTATTAATCATTTTTTTAAAATTTATTTTTTAAATATTTTGCTTACTCCTAGGTATTCTAGAAATGTTACGTTTTCCATCAGATATTTCTATTGATGTTTCATTATCAAATGTTGATTTAGACAGTAATTGTAATACAAGATGTGCAGACAGCTTTTATTGCTCTTGTGACGTCAGTTCTATGTTCGTTTTTTCCGCCATGCAATTATGTCATTCGTGTTTAAATGGACTTTTAATTGCAATTTCTTGTAATTCGATGGAATTTAGGGGAATTTGGATTCCACGATTTTGTCAACGCACTGACTCTTAGAATGCGACAAGCAGATATCGAGGATGAATTACAAAGAGCCTTTCGAATTTTTGATAAGGATGGAGACGGATATATTACAGTCCGAGAACTTAGGCATCTGATGACAAATCTAGGTGAAAAGTACACGGAGGAAGAAGTCAATGAAATGATACAAATTGCTGACTTTAACCAAAAAGGAAAGGTCGATTTTCAAGGTAATTCGTTTATTGAGTATTGATTCTTTAGATCAGTACCATTCTGACACGAAGAGACCATCTATGAATTACGTGTACATTTTTCTAATTAGAGGGTTATTGCCAAAGTTTAATTAAAGTGTCATTGACTTTCGTCATGGACTACAGATATTTCTTTTGCCTTTAAGATATTTTTAAATTTGTTATTTAAATTTTTTTTATAAAGACTTTTTTTACTTTCAGATTATATAAAGCTGGTGACACAGTCTTCAAGATATGATAGCTGAGTTTATACGGTTGTAATACCAAACTCTTTCTGATAGAAATTAAAGAAGACGGTGTGAAGAAATCAAAATAAATGTGCATTGAATATGATTGATATTCATTTCCAGACCTTTTTCTTTTTGCTTATCATGGAATGAACAAGCAATTTCTGTTGATCTGTACCAGAATATAAGAAAGTAAATACTGGCGAACAACCTCTTGTGCACTTCTTTGGTTCAGTTTTGTATACAGCAATGATGGATGCCATTTTTAAATTTCTTCTTGGTAATTAAACTTCCGACTTCGTATTATTCAATTAAATGCAATATTATAACTTGTATTTCAGACATATATTTATTTGTCCCGACGGACTGATCGAGTCAAAAATGTCAATCAATTTTACATTTGTCCCGTGTGAAAGCGTTCAACAAAAATATTGATGATTTCTTTGTATTCAAAGTTGGGTCACGAAATGGTACTATTTCACAGTAGTGGCAGAAGAGGAAAGATTGATTTTCGTGTATGATATACCTTGTCAAATGCTTATTTGGTTTCCACTCATATAACCGTGTAGTCATTGATTAGAGTGTGTCAAAGACATTTGTAAAACTAAAGGTTGTTTTATTTTCAAAGAAAGCACTTTTGCCATTGATTTTAAATTTCCGTGAATAAATGCGCGCAGAAGAAGAGCTGCGGTTGGAATTCTAAATGTGCCAAATAAAATGGTAAGTAATACTGGCTATTTAACTAAAGTAATTATCGATTTGATGATGCATTAAATGAGATTACATGTACATCTTTTTGGTATAAAATCTAATGAGATTACACCTACTTAATGAGATTAACTGTGATAATTTACACAACCAAAAAAGACAAAATAATTTGTTTTTAAAATGGAGAAAGAAGAAAGACTTATTTTGATATTTTCAAAACGGGGAGTCATGGGCAGTAATTTAAAAATCATTGACGTTAATGTAAATAAAATTCTAAAGGTTCTTATGGAAAATAAACAAAAAGGGAATTCAAATGTATTTACAGAGTATTTTCTTTCACGTGTAAACATAATTTAAAACAGGTTTTAAAATCTGTGAGTAATGAACTGAAATACACTATATTCCACGCTAAGTTTTGAAAGTATGATCAACCTTGCATTTGTCTGTATATCTCTTAATTCAAAGTTTTCATTATTTCCCCTTTTATGTATATTTAAGGTTGAAAACCTAACAGAAGAGCAGATAAATGGTATGTCATAGAAAAGATTGATGAATTTTATTTTAAAGTTCAATCTTGCTTAAGATACATTGAGTAAAAGTAGAGGAAAAACGGAATACATTTACTAAACTGATAAAGAGAACTTGTCAAATTTCTGGGATTGATTTTTTTATTATCTGATAAGCAAATACGATGATGTCACAACATTTTTAATTATTGATGCAGAGTGTTCGTAATTCAATCATCAACACCAACAATGATTCATAATATTCTCTTTATAATCATATTACTATTTTTATCGAAACATAAAATTCTGTGTTATGATACAAAATTTTATGTTTTATATAATAATTTGTGAGAAGACAATACGTTCAAAATTAAGTTGACCGTTAACCATAGCACGCCAACAAAGAAACTTTTGAAAAGTGGAATGAGACCTTTAAAATAACAACTCTCCATTTTTCCATTTTCATCAACCATCTATCAACATATTTTGATACAAGGATAATTTTATTTCTCTGACGGACAGAATATAAATATAATATTGCACGATTCAATTTCCTTATCATATCCTGCATGATATCCACTTCTGATAAAAATTACTTATTTATCTAACGAACTAATTGTTGTTCTCTTTGTCTCAGACATTAAAGAGGCTTTCTTGGTGTTTGACAAGGATGGGGATGGGACGGTCAGTACGGAGGAACTGGGGGCAGTGATGAGGTCAATGGGTCAGGACCCGACGGAAAAAGAACTTATGGACATGATTGCTGAAGTGGATGTTGACGGTAAAGTTAAAAAAAAGTTTTGATTTTTTTTAAAAAAAAAGGATAACTGAAATAAAAAAAAAAATAGACCCCAACTCAAAAATGTTTATTTAAATTTGTAATTTGCTTTTTTTTTCTTTTTTTTAAATTCTGTGATGTTGATCTTTATTCAACACTGATCTCCCAAAATGTGAAGTCGTTGTTTCCAACGTTTCAACATTTAATGATATTTGGTCAAAATGCCTACAGGTCCTCTGATTTTAGATTTCATTGTTTTATTCACAAAACCCTAAAGAGCTGTAAAGAATGTGTTTCATCATTTGACTTGAACGTATGAATACATATCTCCAATAAACTATTGAAAAGGTACTTACATTATTTTAATCATTTTTATGTTGAAATCTAGCCCATTTCTTACTTTCAATAAAAGACTCCGTTTGTAAATCTTATATCAATTAGATGCCTGTTATTAGGAAACGGTGACGTGGAGTTTGACGAATTTCTACAAATGATGGCTAAGCAGATGCAGTGCACAGATTCTCCAGACGAACTAATCGAGGCCTTTCAAGTGTTTGATGAAAACAAGACAGGATATATTTCAGTGACAGAGTTTCGAAGCGTCATGACAACGTTAGGGGAAAGACTTACCGATGAAGACGTGGATGAAATGATTGCGGATACCGGATTAGGAAGCAATGGATATATTCGATATAAAGGTATCTTTGTCACACGAATTCCTTCCTTTTAAAAATATTGTTCTTTCCTTGACCGTTTACATTTTCTTTTTCTTTCTGCAATATCCCAGACGTTGGAATAATTAATCACTAAATAAAGAGGAGATATACGTTTGTGTGAAATATATTTTAGGAAACCATAGATAAAAGTCTCTGTACATATCTTATCTCGAAATAGACATGTACATACATATATACAATGTTATGGTTTTTAGGGGTAAAGTGTGGAAAAACCTTGAACAAGTTGAGATCAATGGTTTATTGTTAAATCAAAACTTTAAATAGAACTTAACAGAAGATAAGATAAATCATAATCTGATCAACCCCCTCCTCCCGACGTTAAAGCTAGCAAATCTCAAGTCCAGCATCCTTTATCTTTGAATTTTGCACAAATCAAGTTAACCCACAATCTGAATACCCCCTTCCCCCCCCAAAAAAAACCCAACCTGTTGCCTTTCATTAACTCATTAAACTCCCCACAAATTTTCGTAGAGACTAGTGTTTTTATTTCTATGAGATGCACATGTAAATGATGTAGATGTAAATAAAATCTTGTGTAGGATTCCAAATTTCAGTTTCCATGTAAGCTTGTTCATTGTCTTGTCCATTCTTTTAAAAATATTCAAATTGGGCAAAAAGCTCGCTGCTTATAATATGTGTAGCTCTCTCTCTCTCTCTTAAGCCATCCCTGCCCATTGATCTTTATATACATGTACAAGTAAAATACATGTAATCAACAGCCTTCATAGCAGGGTATACATAAGATCTTTAACTTGTACGGTGTGGGTCCTGGCGTTCTTAATCCAGGCACTTTAGCATAAGCAAATACTTCTATGTGCTTATTGAATTGTTCAAGGTTAAGATTACATATAGTAAATTAACAGTGCTTTCATTTGTTATTGTTACTTATAAGGGGGCTTACTTGGGTTTTCATTACAGAGTATTAACAATTTTAAAGAAATTATTTTAATATCATTTAATAAATTTAACAGAAATAAGACCTAACAGATGAAAAACGGTCTGAGCAAAAGGTCTATTGTAGTATTTCTATAATTTGCCTCAGAGTTTAAAAAATGACGGTTTCGTTCAAGTATACATGCATAATCCTATGGTTAATGTACCTATATTTTGAGACGGTATTTTGAGGAAATATCCAGAGGGTAGATTTTCCCGAAAGTTTGCCTGTTCACTGAGGTCAATGTAGGTGATGCCTGGTATATTTTTTCTTTTGTAGATTTTACACACACACTTTCACATACTTACACACACGGCTCCAATATGCATAAAAAATCTCCATGTATATGGATATTGTCATCGATATGCGGATAATAAATGTAATAAGATGTCTAGGCCAAAACCCTGTACCGGCTACGGGGCCATAAAACAAAGATGAGCTCTTTTTTTTTTTTTTATCTCAGTATCACTTTAGCAAAAGGAATATATTATGGAAAAGTGAGACTGAGATCAAAAGTGAGCTCGTCGATCTAAGTTGTATGGCCCCGGAGCCTGACTCGAATCCTATGCTCGGACAGTAGCAGTTTCTAGGGCATATTTTTTGAAAATACAAAAATATTTTTTAAAAATTCTGTTCAAGAATTACGTAGCAACCGCTGCAACATTCGGCCATGTTCTTGCTTCAATAACTCTGAAATCGCTAAATTAAAAACCTTTAACTAGCAATGTATAACTGATGGTGATTTTTGTTTCACAGCATGGCTGTAACCACTTGTTAGGGAAAGTATTTCGTCTTACTTCTCTGAATATGTATATTTTGGTTAACTTTTTTCAGTGTTAAAATGCATTGTTTTCAAAAAAAGTAATTAAAAAATCCACTTTACAAAATTGTCCGAGAATGGATACTGTAATCATTATAATTAAAGAATTAATCAAGCAAATTTTTCCATACTGAAGATATATAAATAACCTTTACAAGAAAATTTGCAGAAACTTTATGCTTCTTTTAAAAATGTTGTTTCAATCGGTGTTTGATCAATTTTTGTAATGTTCAAAGAAGACAGAAATTTGCGAGAAGTGGTAACTAACCAATAAATTATTGAACTTATTTCTTGTCTAGTAATAATTAAAAGCAATATTCCTTATGTTATGCATATGTGAATGTTCAAAGAGGCATAATTCAGACTGTTCATTAGAATTAAAATTGTCTTTATTTTTTTTTATCTTTCAGACTTTGTGAAGCATATAACATCGAAGTAATAAACTGGATCTTACATTTGAATAAACAATTACAAATGATTGGATTGTTTTCATTAATATCAAAACACTTATATGAGTACAGGGTACGTAAAATGAAAGGAAAATGTTTGATATGTTACTTCTTTTGTTTAATAAAATATTTTTCCTGTTATCCTTGACTTGAGTCTTTGTTATAGCTCTTGGCCAAGGAACTTTCCCTTTTTTGAATCAAATTCAAATAAACCTGATTTTGAATTGCAACAATTAAAGAAACGGCTTTTATATAATTATACTTGTCTGATTCCGGAGTCTACTTAGTTGTACAACTGAAAACTGGTGGTACGATAATATCATCGAGGAAAGAGCGACAAGTTGTCTATCATGGAACGCCAGAGTGCCGTTAGTGAAATAAAAAAAAATCTCTATGAGTTATTTAAACATGTTTAAATCCTGAAAGATAATGCTAAAATAACAACCTCACTTAGTTGAACCTGTTGGACTGTGAAATATTTTAGTGACGTTTGGGGTTTTTTTTATTGACATTAAATCGATAGAGGAAAACAATTCTTGGCCGGTGTCGTGAAATGAAGGAACATAAAAAGATTTGTCCCAGATATTCTTAGCATGGTAAGTAATTTTATGCATATTAGATCTACATAAATATTTTGATAAGAAATCTTATAAGTCTTAATCGCTATTAGATTCTACTTTACAATGTATTCTACATTTTTTTAATGTTTGTACATGTAGCAATTTCAAAAGAATAAAGATGACACCAATAGAACTTTGTGTTTTGACAAAGGATATTGAAATTAAGAGAGGATTGAGAGTTCACCTTTAAAGAATGCGATAAATTGATGGGTCTTAGCCTATTGTACATGATTTTTATTAAGGTTTTATTTTTGTTTCCTGAAGTTAAACATGACGTACAGGGCTCAAAGTCGAACGAAAAAGAAAGTTAAGGTATAAAGTTTCCATTCTAGTTGTTAAGTACATTTTATTTTAACCTTAAAAATGTTTCATCGTTTTTCAGGACTCGCTTACACCTGAACAAATTGCAGGTAAGTGATATTGCATAACTTTTTGGTTCGCTAAAAAAGCTTGCAGTCTTGTTTACTTGCAGTCAATGCAAAAACAGTTTAATAAGATTAGGAAATTCTAAAATCGGAAAATCTTGATGATTTACTATTCTTTTTATCATGAAAGCGAATATAAATCCGTTGAAAAATAAAGTGATGTAAGAGTAATTCAAAGTACTGTATTTTCATATGCAGAACTTCGGGAGACCTTTCTCCTTTTCGATAGGGATGGAGATGGCACTGTGAACTGCGAGGAACTTGGGACGGTAATGAGACAATTAGGTCATGAACCTTCAGAGGAGGAACTGCGTCAGATGATAGCGGAAGTCGACGAAGATGGTAAGTACATTCCTGTCCATAGGGAGCTAAAACAAACTTAGTTTCAATCGAGTTTTTTTTTTGTTTTTTGTTTGTTTGTTTTTTGTTGTTTTTTTTTTTTTTGTTTTGGTATTGTTTTGTTAAAAATCCATGTTTACAATGTTTTCAGTCTTAGCTATGACGTCACCGCCTATGACACTGTGTTATAAAAAAGATAGAGGCAAAGGGAAAATCAAATAAAATGCAGTTAAAAAGAAAATTCAATGCTTTGTAGTGAAATGTGGAATTTTTTTCACACGTAAGACAGGATTTTGATATTTTCACTCGTGCTTTGCACTCGTGAAAAAATATTCTGTCCCACTCGTGAAATAAATTAAATATTCAACTACAAAACATTGAATATCCTCTATATATTTGCAAACAAAATTAAGTGAATGTATTAAAAAATGCATGCATAAACAGTTTATTTTATGCAACATTCTAAAATCACTCAAATTTGAAACAGGTGAACAATAATTAATCTTTTCGCACAATCATTAAATGATAAGATTTCTATCTCATTTAAAATCCTGATCAGATTATTTTTAATTGAGTAGAACTTTAAATCCATTTGATAATGAATATACTTATCTTTCAATTAAAGTAATTTTTTGGACATTCTTTACCTTATGTGTATTGCTGTCGAGGATAAAATCTAAGTCCACTTCCTGTGTATATTTAAATATACCTGCGTGATATAAGTGGCAATTAGATCGTCATGAGATTAAAGCAAAGCGCTTGCAATTAATTCATCAGACTTAGCATAATCAAGAAAAGTTATGTTTAACCTCACAAAAAATTAAACACTTTACACTTTGCTAATCGCTGTAATCTTTACAATGCATTCTTTTCAGTTGCTTTTGTTCTTCATTTAGGAAGCGGGGAGATTGAATTCGAAGAGTTTTGTACTATGATGGCCAATAGGATGAATCAACCAATAGATTCACCAAAGGAATTAATAGAAGCTTTCGAGGTAATGATTAATTTTGTACTTTCCCAAAGACTCATTGGCAATAGTAGTAGGGAGGGATGTGATGATAATTAAAATCAGTATTATGTTATATTGTGTTATACATGTTAGAATGTTTCAGAACGCGAATTTCCATTATTTATAAATTTTTTACAAAGTATAACAAGATGCGTACACGGTCCAGAGTTAAAGAATGTCCGTGATACCGAAGAATACGATGGTAAATTAATATGTTTAAAGTTCTTCCTATAGATATTTGACGAGGAAAAGAAGGGATACATAACAATGGAGGAATTTCGGTCTGTAATGACTACTCTAGGAGAAAAACTGTCACAAAGTGACGTTGACGAAATGGTCACAATGACAGGAATCGGAAAAAACGGAAAAGTCAGGTATAAAGGTGAGAATCTCTAGATCCTCAACATATGTTATTAACAAAGATTAACATTTTAGTCAGTTTTATGTAATTACTTGGGAAATGTCAAAAGTGGAAAGGAACACGAAGTTAAATTCTGTGTATCAAATTTAAATTTCGAGGATGATTTGCCATGGTAATTCAAAAGTAGAATAATTTTAGTTTTCATCTTTCTTAACAAAAGTCTGGTGCTGATTTTGATGAAACTTAACTGTATCAAGATCTTAAAGTTTAACCACAAGATATCAACTTTTACTTAGATGAACTCTGGCAGTTGTCATTAAAAATATATTAAACTTTAAGGATGAAGTTTTGTTACTTTATAAAACAGTTCAGAAAACCAATCAAAACTTTCCTTACAAGCTTTTTAAAAAAATTTAATCGCTAGTGCTTTCATGTTTATCTCGTGGTAAACTTTCTGTTATTTGTTAGATATTGGGAAGATGGGCGGTGTATTATGTAGTCTTGAAATAAATCATTGTCATTAAAAAATGAGAAAATATTTGCGTGTCACCTAAAATTGAAAATGTTTCAAGCTTTGTCCCCTTCTACTTACATCCAAATGGTATAAATCTAAAATAGTGAATTTTTTTGCACATCTTTGATATTCAGTTTTCATTTTTTTTTCAGAGTTTGTGAAAATATTGACAAAAGAATGAATCAATTGTTGATATATTAATACAAGCTTTAGTTTTTAATTTGTTTCATTATATTATACATTGTTTCACAAATTTATTTGTTAACCTTTAAACAATAAAATGCCATAATTTCTTTTGAATCCTTAGTTTTTCTTCCGCTATTGGTATTCCACTCGTGTATTTCTGTCCATTTGTAAGTCTGTTTGATCCTGTATTTGTCAGCAATTTATTTCAAAATGTTTAACTGGACGAGGAAAAAATATTTTTCGTGCATTTTGACGATATGAGGATTTTTTTTTCTATAAGTAAATAAATGTTACACATCTTGAACAAATATGTACATACCTAAAGTTGAAACCAATTTCTGAATATGCTGTACATCGAAATGGACATGTATGCAGAATGTTAAATATAAGGTTGATTTTTTCCTCATTGAAATATAGAATAATCCATTCACTTTCATGTTGATAATGGATTATGATATTCTTTCATGATTGTAAAGTAAGTATCTCGTTCACTAATTACTTCATCAATTGAAACCAATAGTTATACTCGTAACATGCCTGTTATTTGAGAACGAGGGGACCGATGCGATAAAATTGATACTTAACAAGTAGTTATGTAGGCGGTGCTTACAAAATTCATAAGGAACAAGAAAAGTTTAAGAGGAATTGAAAATTTCAGCTTGAAACGTTTATAATTTGCCAAATAATCAATAAATACAACAAATATTAAAAAATCACCCCGCATTGTCGAGATTCATGACGTCTGACAACGCCATTGTTTCTCAATATCCGCTCCCTCTGCCTCAATTACGCGATCCTTGATGAGATAGCCTGTAGTTAAGAAGACTGAAACCCGTCTTGTTTATATATCATTTGATCTGACTATGTCATAACATCGGATATCAGTGCATAATATTGAAAATGGATCTTTACATAGGGAAAGATCATCACTTGATTATGTAAGCATAATTTGCTTGTCAGAGTTCAATGTCTACCGCACATTTTTGACGTAACTGACTTTGGACACCAGAACTACCGGTACAAATCGACATTAAGTATGCGTCTCTTTTCTCTCTGAATCTTTTTTTGCATTAATAAACAGATACTCTGGATGCCCCTTTAAACATTTCGTAGGACTATGCCAGTTTTTCCCTTCATAGAATGTACGTAAGAAAAAGGCATCCTTCCTCTCTCTCTCTCTCCCCCCCCCCCCCGTGTCATTTTATCTTCTTAATTGTTGGACACTCAAAGTAAAACTTACGATAAGATTTCATAGAACTAACAGAATGAGATAAAAGTTGGTAAATTATACCGAATAATTGCGCCATACCACTTGAGTGAACGTGATTATTGGATGACAAACGCTCATATCAAAATAAATTTTCTCCGTTAGACTCAGGTAGAAAATACGTCGTATTTTGAGGTTGTATCGCCTGGTCATACCATTGCTTCCAAAAAACAAACAAACAAACAAACAACAATTTATTTAAAAAATACAACCTATGATTTATAGTGTTTTCTACAGATAGGAAAGATGATGGTAACTAAATACGTAAAAATTCATTGAAGAACCTCAAGCGATTTTAATTTTATGACGCTAGTCCAGGAACTTTTAATAATCCCTCGTATGTTGTTACTACATGTAATATTTATGTAATATTGCTTCAGAAATAATAATTGCAAGTTAGTATATATAAAAAGAAAGACTTCGGATAGGAAGATAAAGGAAGGATAGATATTGAATACGTACAGCTTTCAAATGCACCTGTCTTGCGTGATTTTTAAACCAGTTTTCGTCTAGGAAGAGTCAACGAACGTTTCTTTCTTTATGATGCTCGATATAGAATATCTATTACTCTGTCTGGTCTTGTATTAATAATGAATACAAAGTCAAATGAAATTTGTTTTATACTTATCATTCATTTAATAAACATGGTTTTAGAGTCGTTTTTACTTTTTTAATATCAAAAATAATGATCAGTACACAATTTATGGAAATGCTATGTAATGGTGATGACCTTTTCTGCACTCAAGTTCTACAGTCAATAAGCAAAATCTAAGCAACAAGGTTTAAAAAATCGATATTAAAAAAAAAGAAAAGAGAAAGCGGAATATATCAGAGGAAGTTTTCCTAAAATCTAGGCTTATTTGAGTTCATCTTTGCTCTTTATTAAATGATGATAAGTAAATTATTTTTTGTCTTTAATGTTTTCTTGACACAAATTAAGTTTTGGCGAAACTTAATCATAAGCAATCGGTGTACAGTATTTACAAATTTGATCAATTCTTCTATTTCGTAAGTTCTATGGTCGATACAATGACCTTGTCAGCAAATACAATCTATCATTAAGTCAAATGCTGACTGATTTTTTCATACTAATTGTTAGGTCATTATTTACACACTGAATTGTCGACGGATTTTTCCGTTATTTCCCGATCATGACAAGGAGCACACGGCGGGTGTGACCGGTCGGCAGCGGATGCTCACTCCTCCATGGCACCTGATCCCACCTCTGATGTCTTAGAGGCCCCTGTTTGCTCTTCTCCTATTTTGTAATGTTAAATGGACTTTTGAGCTCGAATACTGTTCGTTATCTCCACATATTTCATCCAAGGCACAATACTAGTAATTGGTGTTGGTACATGCTTTTGAAAGTCATTTAATTGATATACCCTGTAGTAGATAAAGTTTATCTTTACATGAATTTCCAGAATTATACATGTAGTCGAACTATGTTTTTACTAGTTAGTGCTTACCAGTTATAAATCGGCACCTTTGACATCAATCTAAAACAAAATAATCAAAACTGATCTAATAGTACAATAATCATATGTGTCATATAAATTAAATTTCTAATTGATTCGTGAACCGTGTCTTCGAACATCTATTTTTCTTTTCTTTTTTGCAATTCGGGAATATGTATTAAATATCTTTAGACACATTTTCTCTACATATCTTTACAAACAATTTCAACCAATGATGTTTAATTTCTTTTCTAAAAGTTATGAATTTTACTAGTTTTTTCTTCAACTGTTTAAGGTTTAAACTTTTGAATCATTTTCAAAAATGAATTACATATAAATGTAACCCGTGTACCAATATCGGTAAATTTTTTGGATGATGTTTAATTTTTTTTTGTCACATTGATCCATTATAAACACACTCGATGGTATTAATGTCGATTGTTTGAAAGAGTAGCTTTGTGTTTAAATTCATATATTGTCCCACATTATAAAACACAGATTAAGCCGAATTAAGTTTCTGCACAACCTTAATACCATCGACCTACTTTGCTCCAGTCTACCACAAAGTCTCCTATACCATGGTATGATAGAGTTGTGGAGATGGTAAGTTTTTTGGTGATTTTTTTCAATTTCTTTTAATTACGATGTAGCAAAAACATTTGTAAGGATATTTTAAATACCGTAAGTTTTCTAATTGATACTGTCAGAGAGAACCCACTGGGGGCATGTTAGCGACATGACCCCAAAATTTTTAGGTGATTTTTCTCTAATGATAAAGAATTTAAAAGTTCAAAACTTTAGGAGGAAAACTATTCGAGTTACTGCGTTAAACGGAACTTTAATGGAAAGACGGACCACAGATATTTAGTAAGTTTTTCCTCTTATGGTCAACGCCTTTCCGTATAAAATTCTAATTTGTTACAAAGCAAAATGAGATATTGTGTCATAAAAATTTATATATAAATACAGACAAACAAAGCGATGTAACCCCCAAATATTTATATTCGTTTCTTCCTCTTCATGCAAAGTATATTTTTAAAATAAAATTTGAAAACATTACAGTGAAAACTGTTTCGAGTTAATGCGTAACAACAAAAGTTCTGACAGACAGGCGTGCTTCCTGTAGGGCTCGCGCAGTTCATGCAGAGCTCCGAAATTTAATACGGGTATCTTAATTTTTCAGTAATTATGTACCTTTGTTTTGCCATCATAGTACCTAAGTTTGAAAAATATTAATGTGTAAAAATTTTGCCTGTCCTTTAAATATTCTTGCATGCAAATGTTTCTTCTATAGGGCCAAACATTAATGCTTAAGATTTTTAGATAGTTTTAGATCCAAATATATATATATCATATTTTGACATCCATGAAGATTCAGGATTGCATTCTACTCCCCAGAAAGATATTGGCTGTGATTTACTTTGTATGCCATTTTGACTTCAAGTAATAAAATATAAATAAAAATTCTCCAATGTGAGAAATAACTTCAAACTAAGTGAGTATTTAATTTAAAAAAATCATACCTAAGTTTTATATATATATATATATATATATATATATATATATATATATATATATATATATATATATATATATATATATATATATATATATATATATATCAGAAATATATCTTTTCGCAGTTCATGCAAAATACTTAACACAACAATAAAGAACTAAAGTGCAAAAAAGAATTTCGTCTACCTAGAATGTAGTTTAAGTCTTAATATTTGCAGATAAAAACGCCTTTAGAAAATATTGATATTAATCTTTTTATCATGCCAGTAAGTGTGGTTTAACTTGGTTCAAAAGAGGTATTACATTTACATTGAATTTCTACATGTAGAAACTGGGTCAGTTATGTATAACTCATTATTTCAGAGAATATCAATATTCAACTGACATAAATTAATTCCACGTTTTTAAAATTCATTTGAAATTATTTATGGTATTTAAGAAAGGCCATGTTTGCTTTGCTTTTTCATTTTTATTCAACAGATGAAATGAAAGTATATTTTCTTATTTTTACATAAATCCCAATTACATGTTTTCATGAATCTTAAAACTTAATGTCATTTCTAAATAAACAGGAAGTTCCCGAAGAAACCGTAAGTTTTAAGCCTTGCTGATTTTTTTTTGAATTTTCATCCGAATTTTTCCTTTATTAATTTGTTTAATGCCATACCCGTAGTAATTAACTTTTTTTATCTTCATCTCAACATTCTGAGCGCGTAAAATGTACTTTTGCATAATGGACATCAAACTTTCAAGTTTGTTCTTTAAATGTGATATATCTAAATTGAAGGCATAGAGTTTTATTCTTCTAGTGTAGAAGTTTTTGAATAAATTCTGATTCGTAAGAAGACAAAAGTTAATAAAGGAGCACTGTTAGACCCATCGGCATTTCCAACAGATTGTTGGAAGACCTGGTCTCCAATGCAAAGACTACATAGATATTGTCAATGAAGAACTTCAGAATCTTTCTTCAACTTCAGAGTACTTGTGTGTAGATTCATAATGATTTTTAATAAAAGTAATTTTGAAGATGGCTAATCACAAGATATGAATTTTTCCCAGTTCAATTTTTATTGAAAAAAAAAAGCTGAAAAACCTGGTCCTAAATTTATCATGAGAAATGGTTATATAAAGCGTTTAAAAATTTGACGTTTATATTTTATTGATTTTTGGGAAATTTCGTGATATCACTTTTTCTAAATTTCTCTCGTTTTTCGAGAATCTATAATTAATTTACACCATTTCTAGAATTTGTTGAGGGACGGTACATATGAAAATTTTCCTTCACAACTGTTATCATATTTTTGCGAAGTAAAGATAGGGACTTTGTAGAATATTTACTGGACCCTGCAATATATCTTTGTAAGGATTTTTATGAAGTTTCGGAATCCAATATAGGTACGGGAAATCACATTCACTTGTTAAAACTGCAAAATATTTGAAACGTGATTTTGATGAATTTTATCCTTTGAAAGGGAACGGTGATTATAGGTGTGATTTCACGTTGTGGAATAAAAGCCCAGATCTTCCGCAGTTGTAATGAACGCTGCAAAGACTACTGTAAACCAACTTTTATTCGCGTGCTAGAAATATCCGCGAGTTTTGCGACCTATTTCAACTCGCGAATATTAATGGCTGCTAACCACTTATATTGCTTTGCATTTGTAGAGAATGTTTCTTCAGTCGCAAAAATCAATCGTCGCGGACTGATTTCAAATTGACGAATCGCGAATGAAAGATGACGCGAATAACAGTTGGTTTACAGTATATTGTTACAGGTTTTGTTATCTGGAACTAAAACATAATGTCTATGTAGTCTTTCTAATTCTTTTATCAATTCCAGTCTACTTAAACAGAAGGATACATGTATTTTTTTTTCTTTCTACATGTAAAATCAAACAAAAATTATCAAGACGTTTCATTTCTTAAACAGAGAAGACTTAGAAGTTGCCAGTCTCAAATATTTGTACAGGTAGACAAAGGAAACTGAGAAACATTCCATTTCCCTTACTTTGATCTCACTGCCACGCATATTAAAATTCTACTAAACACCTTTTTATTAACTAGTTTTAGCAGAGTTTGTTTGCATTATATATGCCTTTTGAGGTTATTGAGAAGATAATTTTTTTTTAAATCCTTTCCTTTAAGACCAATTTCATTACTATTGACACACAAAAAAATTGTTCGTTCATATGCAAAAAATAATTGACAGAAAGTAAAAAAGAAGGTAGGATTAAAAAAAAAACGTGACTAAGAACCAGTAGAATGATCAAATTACTGTTAAAAATATTCTCAGCATAGCACTGGTTCTTAGGTGATCACTTTTGGGAACCTCATATCATTTTGGACAATCAGAACAAAATCTGTTTTCTATCAACATGCTGTAAGATAAATATATCAAAAGATGAGTATATTTTCAAGACTTATATTTCATGCCACCTGATCCCAACTATAATGTTTTAGAGGTCCTCTTTGCTCTACTCCTGATCTGTATTGTTTAAAGAGACTTGTGAGCTGTTCGTTATCTCCATATTTCATTAGTCTACCTTTCCATTTATCCAATACAGTTGTTGGTGACATAACATCAATGTCAAGTTCATATTGATAGAAGCTGATTTGACAATTTATTATGAATATGAAATTGTTACAATTGGAATGTCACCACTAAGTTGTTGCATTTCTTACACACATATACATTTTACATTATTATGTAGTTTTACTACTTTTTCTCAAGCAAGTATCGTTAGACAAATCATTTTGATTCTTCTATACTAATTCTGTGATAATGTGATCCTTCCCAGACCCTTCTATTCCACCTTGTCTTTCATGATCTGAAAGATTCATTTTAACAGAAATTCGAAACCTGTAATTGGACGCGTTATCACCAATCTGGTGTTGAATTATGATTATCTAAAACTTAAATGACTTCTCTCACAACCAGAACAATTCAATATACCTTGTAAGTTGTCAATGAAGAAAATAATTCATTCAATTATCAGCTCTTATTATATTTTCCACACATATATAATGCAATTTCAATCCATAATCGAAACGTTATTACTTCTTTGAAATAATTATGATGATTTACAATTCTTTAAAGACACTTATCTACACATGTACTACCTTTAAACAGATTTATTCTACCTGTATGTCATGATTCTACAAAAATGTAATGAAACATTTCATGTACTAACTAACAGTTTTTTTTAAATAATTTACCAAGAAACAAAATGTAATTTTATGCACAGGTAATTTGCTCTGTAAATTATTTAATAACTCCATATAGGAGAAACTTAACTGCAATAATGTAGTCCTCTCCAATTTTTATCTGCTGTTTTCAGGAAAGGGCAACAATTCCAAGGGATCTCCGTAATGGTGCAAAAATATTTAAATGTGGGCTACATAAGGCAAAATTTATCAAATATTCATTCGAATATTTAAATAAGAAAGAATTTTTATTCATTATCAACAATCTTGCCCTTTATACGCTAACACGCTTACACAAGTAAAATACAACTGCCTGTTTACCAATACAAATCGGGAGCAGAACAAACAAGGACCTCTGAACACATCAGAGGTGGGATCAGGAGCCATGGAGGAGAAAGTATCTCCTGTCGACCGGTCACGCCCGCCGTGTGTTCAATGTAATGATCGGGCAAACGGAAAAATCCATAGACAATTCATTGTGTACATAATGACCTAACAATTTGTATGATAAAGGTCAGTCAGCATTCAACTTAATGATAGAAAAAATAGTTTGTTTGCCCTCTCCCGACCGACTGGCTAAAAATGGCCCGACTCGGAACCTTTTTAAACCTCCAAAAAGTGATTATTTTATCCATTTCGAAATTTTCCCATCCGTGGAAAACCATTTAAATTTTATTAATACCCTCAATTTTAATAGATTTTGAAAAATCAGCATTGATATTGAAATTGTTTCTGAGATAAAAAAAAAAAAATTCACCTTCTTACTGACACAATTTTTTTTATCCTGAGTTAAGAGAGAGCAAGCAAAAATTATTTTAAAGATAGCCTCAGAGAGTTTTGGATCAATTTATATCTTGCATAACTACAATTTTTGAGTTCTGGTAGGAAATGTTAATGAAACAGTTACATTGATCAATTGAGCCAAAATATGTGTAGTATTGACCACTCCCACACTAGCCCATTACGGAGATCCTACGGAGTTGTAGCCCTCTTAAAAAAGACTTTATACTCCGGCTATTATAACTACTGGTATGCTTCATTTTGCAAATTTTGTAATAAATAAATCAATTATTAAAAAAGAAAAAAGTTGTCCAAAGTTTATTAATCTTACTCCCTTTTATTTTTCTTACTACAGTATTTTTACCAAAACATCAGCAATCCAATTAGATACGACTCCAAAATAAAATCCACATATCAATTTTTTTCTCAGAACTCAATTGCAATGCTTGAGCAATATTCCTTTCATTAATGTATCTGATCTGTGACTTGGTATTCTTGGCATAAACTCCGTGTTGATATTTACTTCAGGATTTAGGCAACACCATTGGACATTTTAGGTGGGACTTCATTTGTCAAACCGGCGTACGCCGAATGCGCCGCTTGACCTTTGGTAACCCGGCTTGTTACTTCATTTGACCGGAGAAGGTTCGCCGGCGTACGCCGATCTCGCCGGTTTGATATGACCGGCGCCGGATTCGCCGGTCTTAGAAATATGGCAGGAAGATTAAACAACTGTTAAAATGCAGATACTTTTTACCAATTCGGCATGTTCTTTAATTATTTGCATTTCTTGAACAAATTTCCATTCATATATTTAAAATCTGTTGTTATTTTCGAAATTATGATTTTTCATGAGGTCCATGATTTTTTTTATTACATTGAATTTTGAATTATTCAACCTTTTTATCGCTAAGACATAATGTAAAAAGTGATAGAATATAATTAATTGATTATTATTTAGTATAATTATTTTTTGTTTTCGCCGGTTTACTTCATTTGCCACTTAGCCGTTTTACGCCTGTCATATGACCGGCGCAATTCGGCGTACGCCGCTCTGTAACAAATGAAGTCGGCCCTTAGTGACGAAAGATCTTAAGGGTGCAACTATCGCCCGATGCTAAAGACTAACCTCTGCCACTTTTTATCTATATTGGGCACAGCTGGAACATTTCATAAAATTAAACATCAGATTAGATTACCAAACTGGAAGTAATAAGCATCAATTGTGTTTAAAATATGAAATTTTAAAACTAATAATGCCAGGTTTCACAGAAAAGGGGTAATATTAGAAAACATGCATACTGTATTCTGCTTACCTGATATACTGATTTTACATCGACCTAGATAAGAATAAGCTTAGGGAGAATTCTACTCTTTGTTCTGGCTGGAATAATTCACTGCAATAGCAATTGTACAATTTAAGATGCGCCTATAATTTAATTAGATATTACGCTTGTTTAAAAATGTGTAAGGCATTTAAAATAAGTCAAAGTAATTGAATAATTCTTGAATAAATACATCTAAATGGAAAGAGTACACTCATCAACATCGTATTTTCAGAGCGTAAGCTTCTAAGTACTTGTTTGATACTATAAATATTATTACTTACATGTATGTTTAAAATTCTGAGGATTTTGATATAAACATAAAAAGTATAAATTATTTTTTAAAAATCTGTTTACTGTTAACTGTGGTGTGAAAATATATTCTAAATGTTTTGTATTTTTCTATTTTGATAGACGGATAATTTTGCTCACGAGGTCTACAAAGGTATGTTTCTATGACAATTTGCTCCTTTAAAGCAACTATTTATAACCACCTGGCTAAAAATAATCCACAAATTCCACATGTAAATTTTACAGATGCTTTCTATGAGGCTGATGAGGATGGGGATGGTTTTCTATCCGAGCGTGAACTAGGGATCGCCTTACGAAAACTAGGTCACAATCCAAGTGAAGTGGAAATCCGTGACCTTATTTTGACTGTTGATGAGGATGGTTTGTATTCTTAATCATTAGACTAACCTACTCAATTTATACTGTGATACCTAAAAAGGTGGGGGATGCAAAAAAGCATTATAAGAATGAGTGAATGAGTTGCTGGAACATGATTCATGACTTTGATGAAAGATGAAAGTTTCAACAAAAAGTATCTGTTTAAGATAACTTTCTCCTATACATAATCTTAATTTACATGTAATTTAATTTCAAGCCAAATCAATTATGTAATGAGTTTGAAATTGCGTTAAAATAATGAATATTAAGAATAAAAAACTTGTAAGCTGAATGTTTAAATAGGGTAAATAAACACTTTGTTTTAATCGACATTAGGTACATATATAGTTACGAGTACGTCCACCAAACGTGGAGGAAGCGTTATTTAGCTATGGTTGTATGTCATAAAACTGCTCCTGATTCTATGTTCTTCTCCAGATCTCTGTCCTGGATGGGATCGATTTAGGTTTAATTATCTGTGAACTAGCTTAAATTGTGTTTGGAAGCTGATTGACTCAAAGTCAATGTCACTGGGAAATGAAATTTTTAAATTATTGAAATCCTTTCAAAATCGTTACTTTGAAGTCTTTAATTTGAACAGTTCTTAATTTTAGTCTTTTGCTGCCTAATGTTTGAAAGTTGAGGATTGATACTGGCTCAAGGACACCGTTCAAAATAACAGTTCTCTATGCAACTATAACTGGATTGTAGCTCTTGAACCCGTTGACTGGAAAATTTCAAACACACGTAAATATAGGTCATAATAATTAGTTCATATCATAGATGTGGTCAATGAGAATACGGGATACTAAATGAAATATATGGAGATAACGAACAGTAATCAAGCTCAAAAGTCCATTATACAATACAAAATAGAAGCAGAGCAAACACGGACCTCCAAACATCAGAGGTGGGATCAGGTGCCATGGAGGAGTGAGCATCCCCTGCCGACCTGTCACACCCGCCGTGTGCTCCTTGTCATGATCGGGAAATAACGGAAAAATCCGTCGACAATTCAGTGTGTAAATAATGGCCTAACAATTAGTAAAATAGTGTAAAAATCTTTTGTTTTATCAGAAAATGGTCATTTGGACATGAATGAGTTCATGAACTTGATGACATTGAAGACAGCTGCTGTTGGAGAGGTCAACGACATGTTTAAAACATTTGATGTGGACAAAAACGGTTTTATCGACTGGAAGGAACTAAAGATGGGGATGGAGAACCTAGTGGGACATGAGCTGGACGATTCAGATATTGATGAGATGATGGAGGAAGCTGATTTAGACGGGGATGGAAGAATTAATTACGCAGGTATGACATGTATTCATTCTCATACCGAAAACAAGCATTCTTTCGTAAAACTTTCACTTTCTGTATTTTGAATATGTATGTAGCGATTTTCTATGAATGCTTTTTTCTGTTTCAAATTAACTTTATACTATCATCCGCATAAGGTATCGCATTTTCCTTTCCAAAAAATGAAACGCAGGGGAAGAATATATGCGTAAATCAAAATCAATGGTCTTTTGAACAAAACAACACCAATCCCATCCTAAAGGGCATGTCCATACTAAAGACTCATTATGTAAAATAAATCACTGAAACCTGTCCGAATGTTAATATGCAGCACATGTAGACTAAATGCTCTTGAAGTTACTTTTAAAACGAAATGATTCCTCTTAAGTTTAAATTTTTTCTGATTTAATATCTTAATTTTACTTCAGTGTAGAATCTTTTTACAGTACCTAGTATTAGACAAATTTATATACATGTATCTTATCTTTTAGAGAACGTAAAATGTCATTTTATCATTTTTTTAAGAGTTTGAACGTATGATGCAGAAGAACTTTGACACAGAGAATGATGAAGAGGTGTAAAGAAAACCTAGGGCCAATGGAATATAACTTCATATTGAATTCTATGCTTCTACATCCTTTCCATTCTTAGGATTTTTTTTCATTTGATAATTTTACCAATTGTAAATAGTGTAGTACGTCGTTCAGTAGTCTTGTTGAACATCGTGTACTTGGTACTTTTTTCATACTGGTTCTTTGTATGAATTTTTTGGCCACCATCTTTAAAGCTCAGATTAGAAGTTAGATTTGCATTCACATGAAGGCTTTTTAAGGGCGAGTTCAAAACAGAGCAAATGTAGAATGTTATGGAAATTTTAGTCTAGTTATTCCATACTTGTTTTAATTTAGATTTTATCGTTTAGTGTCTTCGTTATTGTTTGATCCCATTTCACTCTTTTTCTTTTTGTTTACTGTAGGAAATCTCACGTGAATTTTCCCTATATATTATTCATATCATTTATACAAAGATTTCAAACGTAAGTGTCCACAATATACAAAGTGAAAACATTTGTTACCTAATAAATGAAATGAAATGCTAACCTTTGTTGAAGTTTCATTTGTAAAGTAACTAATATATATACAGTTTAATTTGTCCAAACCGGCTACCCCCGGTTCCGTAAAATTTGGCCGGATTAGACAGAATCCGGAGTGCAGGAAAAATGCAGGAAAGTATTTGAAATTTAATTTTGGTGTTTTATTTATGAGTACAATATATAATATATAAATAATTGATAAAATCAATCAGTATTTTGGAGTCTAGAAATTATTAGAGAGATTGCATGACTTACTGTATTTTTTGTTTTCTTTTTCGTTCACAAAGTTTTGGACTTAACATGAAATGTTACCGGAGTCAAAATCTACAGACTGGTATATTATACTATACATATCACGCGGCCCGGGTTTTGCATGTCAAAGAGCGCATTCAATATAACTATAAACACAACTATTCACGCTTTGATAATTATTGGATTGAAATTTTAATTTTTATCTAAAAATTTACGTCTTCCCTCTAATGTAATGGCGCCATTTTGTGATGAGACGTTTGAGTTTCGATCCCGATTTATATTTTGGTTTGCAAATCCTGTACCTATATTGTATTGATTTTTATTATACTTTGTAATATGGAGTAAAAAGCAAGTTAAATGTGTGAGAGTTTTTTTTTTTTAATTTACTTGTAATTTAATCTTATATTTCTTCAAGTTTTGACACTGCCGCGATTCAGTTCGTCTCATGGCACTTATGTAAACATACGTTAGCACATCTTCACGAAAGGTGTTAATTGCTTTGAAGTAACTCAGGTTATTATGCGTGGCCGGATTAGAGGACATAATTACCGTTAATTATGAGCAGTTGGGACCAGTATGGCCGTTCGGAATACAGAATAGACACTATCCGGTCTACACAGAATTTTTTCTAATACATTTGCTAAAAAAGTGCATGGAACTAAAATTTATAGCCGGAATGGACAAAAATCCGGAGTATTCAGAGTCCGGATTAGACAAATTTTACTATATATATATATATATATATATATATATATATATATATATATATATATATATATATATATATATATATATATATATATTGTTTGTTTGTATATTGTTTAACGTCCCTCTCGAGAATTTTTCACTCATATGGAGACGCCACCACTTGCCGGTGGAGAGCTGCAAATTTTGTCCTATACTCAGCACTTACGGCCATTGAGGTGTGAGGGATCTTTTTCGTGCCAGCACCTACTGCGACACGGGACCTCGGTTTATACGGTCTCATCCGAAGGACCGGTCTCCATGTCCCACAGTAGGATTCGAACCCGCGACGTAAGGATCAACTCCTTATTCCGCGACTTTAGAGCAGACTCTCTAACCACTGCGCCACGCGGGCGACTATATATATATATATATATATATATATATATATATATATATATATATATATATATATATATATATATATATATATATATATATATATATCACCGAAGTAAATATTGTATGTCATGATCAGAATGAACTAGAATCGTCAACAGCGTAAAAGAATTTGTACTTTTATTTATTTATTTTTTTTTTTAGCATATTCTGACATTTTTCTTAAGATACAGCAGAAGTTCTATTGTTACATACTTGTGTTATAACTTCTATTTATAGATCCACACTGCCCTTCGAAGTCTGCTATGAGATCTCCACAATGAAATATATATTTAATATTATACTTTAACTGTGAACGGAGAAAATATCCCTATCAGAATTGGGTTTCTTAGACTTGTTTAATCATATATAGAGAATAATACATACCCTTTTCCATATTACATCCTGTTTCAGCCCGAGACACCACCATCAGCCAGAGGGCCGAAGGCCTGAGAGTTGATATTGGTCGAGAGTTGATTCAGAATTTGATTTGGAAAAGGGTATGTTTTATGTTTATTACATACTTAGTAATAAAATACAGCAGGTGTAATAAACGTAGGTGTCCACAATATACAAAGTGAAAACATTTTTTACCAAATAAATGAAATGCTAACCTCATATGAAAGGAAGAAATAAGAAAGCTTAAACTCATTGGAACAAATGAAGGGAAAAAATAATTATAGAGTTTGATTTTTTGTAATATTTTTTGTAAAATTTAAAAAATGGTTGAAGTGAAATCATAAGGAAAGAACACACTACCCTTTTAATTGCTGTGAAAATTAAAAATTGTTATACATGTACCTGCAAGTATGCTAAGTATCAAAACTGCCACTAAGTAGTGGCTTAGGAAAACAACTCTTGGACACAGCCATCGTAAGATCTTTGTCCTGATCTAAGGACAGGTTATTATTTGCCCCATTTTTAGCACCCCGTCTCTCATTTACTCGTATAACATCATCTTCCCTGCTCTGAATGATGATTGGTTTTGAAACATTTGATTTTATATGTTCCTGTTTCTCTCTCAAAAGGTTTATCGCCAATAACATTTTCGCCCGTGATACTGAGTATCATATTTATTTACCATTACTGTAAAAACTTAATTAAATTTTATTTTAAGAAGTCTTAAATATTAGATACCTCACAAACACCTTTATATATTTCAATTTACACATTTCCCAAAACATTTGAAACAGCAAGCTATGATAGTCACTGTAATAAAGCGTTTTCCCCTCATATGACTGTGATACTGAGCATGATATTTTATTTATCGGTAGTGTCAAAACTTAAGCAGATTTCATTTTAATAACTATTATATATATAGTGTCTCACGAGTACAAATTAAATTTCAGTTCACACATTTTTAGAACATAGAAAACAACAGATTACGATCATAATGTAGATATTTGAAGTCAAGTATATGTATTTTGTCATTTTAAAACCAAATGATATCTCCCTAAAATATCTTTTCTCAGAACACCATTCATAATAAGTCAAATTAAGAAATAAAAAAGTCACTTTTAAGTTTACTTTATTGATTTTGAGTCACTTTTAAGTTTACTTTATTGATTTTGAGAAGAAGTTTTCATTTAATTAAAAAGCAAATGGTCCAAACATCAATTGAATTTACTATATCCCACTTTGAATTTATGCATGAAGATATCTCATCGGTTTGAAATGAGGTTTTAATGAAAAAAATGGCTCGAGAATGAAAGTCCATGTCCATCTTCATATTGTAAGTATTGAACTTACTTAAGTGGAGGTAAATGTAAAATTTACATGATGTAAATTATGCATTTACCTCCACCTAGAAAATTCACAAATTGATACGATCTCAAAATAAAGAGGGAAATTGACTTGTGATTCTTTACGACAGAGAATAAAGAATTGTCATTTATTTACTCGATACCTTATTATTATTTTTACCTTTCATGCTAGTAGGGTAATTTTTCTAAGGGCAGGCTGGTATAAAGAACGCTATTAAAACTTGTTAGTAAGAGCGTATGCCGAGGAAGAACCCTTATTTTGTCTATCTTCTTAGAGCGTATGTCGACGAAGAACCCTTATTTTGTCTATCTTCTTAGAGCGTATGTCGACGAAGAACCCTTATTTTGTCTATCTTCTTTACAGTATAACTGATAAAACAAAAAGTCCATCCATGCATATGGTGCTGCTTGACGGTTACCTGAGTATCACGGGTTTCCTATGTCTTTGATCAACGGAGCTTTGAAACCTACATGTAAACCCTGGACCATGGCCGTAGGAACCGGGGGGGGGGGGGGGGCGTGCCCCCCTCCCCCAATAATTTTGCCGATATATAGATTGCTATAGTAAAAATAGAAACTATATACTTGTGCCCCCTCAATAAAAACGTTTGATGTCCTTTTTTTTTTTTTTTTTTTTTTTTTTTTTTTTGCTTGTCAAGGAATTTTTGGTAGTTGATGACCTTTTTTTGTGCCCCCTCAACTGTCAACTGAAAATGTATGGCTGTACCCCCCCCCCAACTGAATTTGCTTCCTATGGGCCTGCCTGGACCCAGGAGACGTTTCAGTTATTTTTGGTAGAGTGCTTACTGATCATTAGAATAATGCAACCTGTTTTTTACTACATGTTCCCGATAAAAGAAGACTTTAAAATGCGTATTTCCATGACCAAATGGAAGAAATTTTACATTTTTTATAAAATTTTTACTATTATAATTATCATTTAGTAACAAATAACATTTTCATTACAGTGATTATTTTCAATATATTAAATTACCCCGATCTTGGGTTGAACCCTAGAACAAGGGAACATGAATTTCACACTTGTGGTAGAGAGTTTGCTGTTTGTAATCAGTCAAACATTTTACCTGCTAGACGAGTAGATGACCATACCTAAGATTTTCAATGATGCAGTGAGACCGTCACCGTAGACCTTTCGGTAGAGGGCTCGCCACATGATCGAAAAATTGTGGTTTCAAGTCGCAAAAACCTAAGTCGATAAAAATTAGGAAGCAACTCTCCCTTCGCCAAGCTCTAGGCCATTTAAATTGAAAGTTGCAGGTCTTTCGGTTGAGACCTTAAAACCCGAGTCCCCATGTCACGACAGGCATTAGCACGATAATGATTTCTTAATGCTCATTGGCTCTGCTTGCTAAATAATGTCCAAATTTGAAACCCTTCACCGGCATACGTCTCATATGATGTGAATTCATCTTGCAAGGGACGTAAAGCAATCAATCTACATGTATCAGTAAGTGTGCAATGTATTTTCAATATATTAACCAGTTTATTCCATCCTTTGAGCGGAATCCAGGGGTTATGTATTTCACAATTTGGTAGGGGATATATTTACTCATTAATACTCATGTTAATTTGCTTGCTCAATACTTAAAAAGATTTTTTTTAAAAATCGCTCCATTTCTCGGGCCTAAGAATGGCTGGAACCTTGAAATAAGTAAAAGTGTGTTTCATTTTATCTAGTCCTAAAAGTATACAAAAGCCTCGGATAATGTCCCTTCGCTCCTTCAAGCTGAACACGACTCGTAAAGAGGTATATGCCATATAGTTGTCCTAGGATATCAGGGGGTATACCCTTCGCATTCGTTACACCTGACTGCATTCTTGTAACGGGTACCTACGTGAAATGGACGACACGTGTTTGTGTTGGTTATCTTACATTACCCTTGTTTACATTTTATTGCAGTTTACGTGTATTTGTGTTTGTTTGTACTGCACTTACCTGTGCAACTGATGCAAGTTTCTTTGGTAACCTTCTCTCCTGTCGTACTCTTGTCGCTACCGAAAGTTTTACAATAGCTTTGTAGAATACGCCTGTCTACACCGGTCAAGACTGATTCGTTGAACCGAGACCAAGTTAACGACTTACATAGGGCCGTACAGTTGACAAAAATTCCAGAGTAATATGGCGGACAAACGTAGATCTCTGCCTTTTACGAATCGTGTTCACTTTTAATTACATCGTTTACCCAACACCAAGTGAAAAGAGAGAGTTAGATGGAGAGAGAGGAAAAAAGAAAATAACAAAAAAATTGATTTTTTAAATTATTTATTTATTTATTTATTTCGAAATACATCTGCACCACAAAAATCTTTAAATAAATAATTCATCGTGCTCGAGAAATGAAATTTTAAAATCTGAATGTCTTCTGATGTCAAGTTTCAGATTAATTCTACAGACAAAGACTCAGTCTCAATAACAAATTTCTTTCGCATCAAATCTTTAAGTAAACTTATATGTAAACAAGTTTGGCTTTAACAATATCCTAACGGTAAACTGTGAGACAATATTCAATATATATGCCCCAAAATAAAGTACCGAACACAATTACAATAGCCTCATCCCATATGTAAACACGGGGAAAGCATTGAAGCTTGTAATGCAAACTCAGTTTATTTACAAGCAAAGGTCGCTTGAATCCTGTTTCGCTGGAGACACAGTAGGAAGAACAAATATTTTTATGATTTTCCTCCTTACAGACGTGCCCTGTTGTGTGTTTAAATATTTCGCTTAATTTGGTATCATTTATAAATAAATGTTTTATGAGCTTTGTATATATCTTGATTTAAATCTTTCTGTCAGAAGTTGAACTCCAGCAGATATTTATCGTTACCCAATGATGTGAAACATTAAAGGAAACTACCTGATTTCTTTTAACATTACGTAAGGATATTAAATAAACGAAAATACGAAACGTCTGTATTGCCTGTATTTTAAACATTAAGAGAGAAAAACCAAATCTACTGAAGTCATAAACTGACACGTCTTTGTAAGTGTCAACCTCACGGCAAATGTAGGATAAATTAATGCCAAAAGAAAATAGTAAACGAGTACATGGATTAACCTTCAAAAGATCTACACAAAATGGTAAGTGACGTAAAATATACTTTTATTCACCCGTCAAATATTTTCCATTTTCTTTTGTACCGAATGAAAAGATACGATGATTTGATTTCATCTTTGTAAGCGTGAGGCAATATGGGGAAAAAAGCTTTTATAAAAATATAAAAACATATGATCATGATTTAACTTAATGCATTTGAATATGTCAAGCGCAGAGAAAAGTTTAGAAACGGAGGAGATTGATAATGTAAGTTGTTTCATTTCCATATATGTAAGAAACAAAATTTATGTACATTTTTATATCAAAACATATTTGGAAAAAAAGATAAATATTTTCAGGATGAAAGTAACTGATAAACTTTTAATTTTTCACTGAGATAATGTTTATAATAATTGTTGTTAAATAATGATAAAAGTTATGTGTGGATGTTGAGTAACTTTCAGGGCAATCTTGATATTTTATCAAAGTACATACACAGTGTATTAATTTTACGAAAGGTAAAGGCGAGAAATGAACACAATGATAAAATCTTATTTAGAATAATTTCTTTAGAGATGTAATTATGTTGGTCTGCTCTTCTACCCTGCAGATTTAAGAGGGTATTTAAATCTGAAAGTCTCTTCATTGAACAAATAACAGTAATTAATGTACAGTTGTCACATATTGAATTACATTGTATGATGTAAACATAGTTGTTAAACCTTAAGAAAATTCTCAAGGGTAAGTTAAAAGTATTTACATGAAGGTTTCTTTTTTATAACTTCTATGATTTGGAGGCTTGTAAAATATGCATTTTAAATTTTTAATTCCTCTTTCTCTTGGGACACTTCAAGAGCTCGGAAACTGTTCAAGAATTTATTTTAATTTCAATTTACTTTTCAGGAAAATTTTACGAAAGAACAAATAGAAGGTATCTTTTTTTATCTCTAATTATAACTCTGTCCAAATTAATAGTTTTATATGGAATCAATATCAATTAAACAATGAAATAATGATTCCCATTAAAAAAAATTAAATATATGATATTTCCTCAGAGTACCGCCAAGCATTTCGTGTGTTTGATAAGGATGGTGACGGGACGATTTCTACAGAAGAATTAGGTGTGGTTCTTCGATCCCTAGGACAGAACCCCTCTCCTGAGGAACTTGATGATCTAGTGGAAGCCATAGATGTTGATGGTAATTTTTCTTTGTCCTATCTTAAAACAAGTATTAACATTACCCTGCTTACATAAGCTTCTGGAGAATTTTGAAGTATTTAATTTATTATTTGAAGTATTTTGAAGTATTTAATTTATACAAGACTCAATTTCTAAATTTTCAGTATTTCCGTAGAAATTTGTATAATTCACCACTCATTTTTAGCTCACCTCAACGAAGTAGCTTATGTAATACCGTTGGCGTCCCAGGTAAAAATTTTTGGTGCAGTTTTCTTTTCAAGTACTTCTGTGCCCTATATCAATCAGAGATGCATGGAGGATGCTTCTAGTATGTTTCATTGTACCAGTCAAGGTTTGAGATGCTGCAATTTCAGCTGAAGAATGACCAGGTTAATGTTTTTGAAGCAGGTTAAAATTCTTAGAGCAGGTTAAAGTTTTTAGAGCAGGTCTCATTTCCAAATAACTATAAGCCCTATATTGACCAAACTTGCATGGATGATGCATCTAAGGATGTACACTATTTTTACGCCTTACATTAAGATTAACTTTCAAAAAAATGGAGCAAAGACTCAATCATATGGAAAAATTGTCATACAGTATGATAATATTATCACTTTTGCGTTATTTGGTGTGTGGATGCTATTTCACTGACGAATGATTTTAATACGTTTGAGATTGTTGCGATTTGTGGAGATTTTACATGACGGAAACGTTCATATTAATGTTAACTGAAATATCAAAGAAAAATTTCTATAATTGACATTTGATTTTTCACTTTCTTGTTTAACCGTAGTCATTCTTCTAGGCTTATTCGCCTATTTTCAAATTTGAAGATATTTTTGTTTTTAGAGTACAGTTGTTAGTGTTTTAGCATTTTACAACTTAATTTAACTGGCAGCGTATTGAATAACAGTAAATACAAACTGACATGTGCTTTAGAACTGCACCGTATTAAAAAGCCCTGCTCATAATGGTCTAGTATTCAAAACTTATGTACAAATGTTCAAGGCCATCATCTTTAAAATAATTATTTTAGATTCAAAATGGATTTGATCTCATTAACTTTTTGAGATATTGAAAAGATAGGGGTGGGGGAGGCTGAATAAACAGCTGAGTTGATTAGAGTATTTGTGGCGGACGAAAATTAATATTTATAAATATATGATATTTATAGTTGATTCGATGCGTACTTCTCTACTTACGAACAATTTCTAAAAAGATGCAAGCTATTGACAAATAAGTTGATAAAACAAGGATATCAACAGCCTCGTTTAAAGTCAACATTTCGCAAATTCTATGGTCGATACATTTACCTTATCAGCAAATACAATCTATCATTAAATCAAATTATACATGTAAGTGACCTTTTTCACAAAAATTGTTAGGCCATTATTTTCACACCGAATTGTCTACGTATTTTTCCGTTTTGTCCGATCTTGACAAGCAGCACACGGCGGGTGTGACTGGTCTACAGCGGATGCTTACTCCTCCTTGGTACCTGATCCCACCCCTTTGTATTGTTGAATCCCCCCCCCCACTAAAAAACTGGCAAAAGAAAAAAATTAAAATAAATAAAAACAAAACAAATAAATAAAATTAAATTAAATACCTATTGTTCAATGTATGCATTGTTTCATCCATATCATTTTTATTTAATTAGGAAATGGAATCATCGATTTTAGTGAATTTTTGCAAATGATGGCAAGAAAAATGCAAGAAGTAGATGTTGAAAATGACATAAGAGAGGCATTCAAAGTCTTCGACAAAGAAAACAAAGGCTACATTACTGCGTCAGAGCTACGTCATATAATGACGAATTTGGGTGAAAAACTCTCTGATGATGAGGCTGATGAGATGCTCCTCGAGGCCGATAGGGACGGTGATGGACAAATTGATTACGAAGGTACTGCAAATCAAATTTTGGTCAAGTTTGATAACTGTAACTCAAATATTGTCTTTACATATGGATTTGTTACACACATATTTCAAAAACTTTGAAATCCATTTCGAAACAAAGAAATGAAACACATTTATTCTGTCCTTAAGTATCGGAATTCATTTCTATCAGCTATCAGCAAAACTTAAGAAGAGCGACCTTCCCCCTCCCCTCTTTCAACATGTGACATGACTCACTTGAGCAAACGGTGTTCATGCCACCTTTATTCAATAAAAATCATATTCGACTGAACAGTGTCTCAAAGGTCAGGATCAAGATTTTCTCGATTCTAAGGCCACAACTTGCTTTTTATAAATATCATTCTTAAATAACTCATCATCTGTTAATGTACATTAGCTTCTGAAAACTTTTTTTTGCAGAATTCACAGCAATGTTGGCCGGGGGACTGAAGCAGCAGTAATCCAGAGAGAGAGAGAGAGAGAGAGAGAGAGAGAGAGAGAGTTATGAGAATGTATTTTATGAAAATTATTATCGTATTATTTCTGTTACATATGTTAAATAAAAATAAATTACTAAACCATTTAATCCGTAAAAAGGTTTTTGACCATATCAAATTTGGCAGGCACCAAGTAAAAAATTTATACTAGCCTAACGCTAGGAATAAGCTGCTATAATTTTGTTGAGAACACTCACTTTTTGCATCTTTTATTTATTCTAAAAGCGGTTTAGACAGAAATTCTATATACTGAAGACTTGGAGGATGTGATATAATTATTCAACAGTCTATCAGTCTATCATATTTTCTTGAAAAAGTAAAAAAAAAAAAGATTTGTCCGCTTTCTGTGACAGACCAAGATATAGACTAGATCTTTTTTTGAATCTTATACTCTTAAATACCCCCCGACGAAGGGTTTTCATTCAAGTCTCAGAAAACAATGTAACAACTGTACCTTTTTATGTATACATCTTACACTGATATAAATGCTTAATCGAGTTTTTATATCTACTCATCTGTGTTCTGAAAACAGGTTAATATACGTCGGGGCTATTTAAACAAATTACAGTATTAAGGAGGGATTCTTGTCTGATTTCTGACTAAATGAAATATTCAAATTATATTTGGTTATATGTCTTATATAATTAGATGTAAGAGATTTAAAAGATCATATTTTTCTTTCCTCACCATAATCGTACAATTTTAAATAGAAATGGTAAACTGAGTTTGAAATCTAGCAGGGACTATATTTTGGGCGGAACAGCGGCGTATGAAAATATCTCCTTTTCTGCTTCTCAAAATCAATGAATTTAGTTAAAATTTTTAAACAATCAAAGACTAAAAGAAAATTTCAAATGTAAGTAAAATTAAAAATAATGGACTGAAGTTTAAAAATATATCAAATTAATATGATTTTTAGCTCTACTGGTCAGAGACCAGAAGAGCTTATGCGATAGTAAGGTGTCCGTCGTCCGTCTGTCTGTAAACAATTTTTCAAAATGCTACTCCTCCTACAGTTTTGGTATGATTTCAATATAACTTGGCACACAAGTAGACTACACTGATATATATAATTTAGTACATCAGTTTTTGATTTCGATGAACGGTGTTGCCATGGTTACTAAAAATAGAAATTTCTGTGAAATTCCTTTAAAACGCTACTCCTTCTACAGTTTTGGTCTGATTTCAGTATAACTTGGCACACAAGTAGACTACACTAAGATACATAAATAAGTGCATCGGTTTATGATTTCGATTTACGGTGTTGCCATGGTTACTAAAAATAAAAATTTCTGGGAAATTCCTTTAAAACATTACTCCTGCTACAGTTTTGGTCTGATTTCAATATAACTTGGCACACAATTAGAATACACTACAATACATAATATGTATTTCGGTTTTTGATTTCAGTGAATGGTGTTGTCATGGTTACTAAAAATAGAAATTTCTGTGAAATACTTTCAAAACGCCACTCCTCCTACAGTTTTCGTTTGATTTCAATTTAACTTGGCACAGAAGTAGACTACATTAAGATACATAATTCTGTTTATTGTCGCATGTTGCAAAGTTTCAAATCCAAGTGCTACTTTTGTTATACGTACAGACTAGTAGAGCTACAGTCTCATCAGAGACTTTTGGTTCAAACAAACTATAATTTTGTTAACTTTTAAAAGGTACTTTTAAAAAGTACAAATATGAGCCAAACTCCATAAAAAGTTATTTTCTCTCTTAGTAAACTTTCAAAACTTTGTCTTTTTGTATCAATTTGTATCTTTATATGACTACTTTACCATATGTGAAAATAAGAAAAATTTAAATATACAAAGCATATAAAAATAACTTATATATCCTTAAAATCTAAGAAAAATAGAGGAAATTCGGATAGCCAATATCTATTCAAGTTAAATTATTTATGTCAGTTTGGTAGCATCATCTGATATAACCTATATGGTAATATCTTTTTATGCAAAAAGAAAAACATTTAATCTTTTGAAATAGAAGTAGGCATTTCATGATTGGCAACAGTATTTTTTTATTCCTAAGGTCAAGGAAAAAGATAATGACCTTGACCTGACCTTGCTTTTAAAATAATACGGTCAAATTTAATCTAATTGATACCATTATTTAATGATAATGTCTTCTTGAATCTATGAAAATTTCTTTAATGTTTATACAAGAAATATGAGAAGAATCCCTCCTTAAGTTTAATATAGTAATTTACCTTAGCGATAAACTAGATACAACAACAAGAACGTAAAAGGATTACAAAGCTCCTTGCAACTTTGTTAATGGGTAATTATCCTACCTCCACAAACAAGTAACGTGTATGTATCTAAGTGTAATACTGTCCGAACTAAATCGGGCCTCCACCAATAAGTATATTAATATCACAATACATTTTAATCACCTGAGTCTGAGGTAGCTATGGCGATATCTTGTGCAGCGAAAAACGCAAAGGAATGAGGGCAACAAAGATAAAGAACATTGATAAATCTCATAAATACAGTAAACACATACTATGCAGGTGATGATGGAATAATACGATGGAAAAGCTAAAGTCAGTCAGTTTTTCATAAAGTTTGATTATTAGTTGGCCATTATCGTCTACAGGCAGTAAACATCCAAATATGAAACAGATGTGGCAGATTCTGTAATACCTTTCATTCTGAGTTCACTGGGATATGACAAATGAATGAGGGTAACTATTGTTAATTAATAAAACGTCGTCGAAATATCTAAATGTCGATTTGAAGGACACAGCAAAAGTGTTCTTCTCGTGTCAAAGTTTTTAAATAAATTTTGCTTCATACAAATATAAAACCAGGTCGGCTTATAAAGGAGCACAATTAATGCCCTTTGGAGTTCCAACGGATTGTTGAAGGACCTAGTCTCCAAAGACTAAATATATATTGTCAATGAGGAACTCCAGTATCTTTTTAGTATCAACTTCAGAGTATTTGTATGTAGAATCAGAATGGTTTTTAATAATGTAATTTTGTAGATGACCAATCACAAGATATTAAAGTGACCTGTGTGACGCAGTGGTTAAAGCGTCTGCTCTAGAGTCGCACAGTATGGAGCTAATCCTTCCGTTGCGGGTTCGAATCCCACTGCGGGGCGTGGAGAATGGTCCTTCGGATGAGACCGAGTAAAAGGAGGTCAGTGTCGCAGCAGTTGTTGGCACGAAAAAGATCCCTCACTGCTCAATGTCCCTGAGTGCCGATTATCGGAATAAATTTGCAGCCCTCCACCGACAAGTGGTGGCGTCTCCATATGAGTGAAAAATTCTCGAGAGGTACGTTAAAACAACAGGCAAACAAGTTTAAGAGTTCCGTTTTTTTAATTGAGGAAAAAGTTGTCTATGATGCCTGCTCTTTAATTTATTGTAAGGAATGGTTGCATAAAGCATATATATTATATGTTTTGATGGTGTTGATGTTTGAAAAGTTATGAGATTTTAAATTCTTCAAAAGTTCTTTGGGGTTCTTAAGAATCGGCATTTGGTTTACACCGACAACGCAAAGGAGGTGGATGACAAGGCGAGGCGGCGAAAGCTACATATCAAGGGTGATACTATTCTTGCATTGTGGCCATAGCAATCTTGATGCCAAATGCTATCGCCCTTGCATTTTAAGGCTTGCATTCTCATTTGCTTTCATTCCCGACCTGACCGTCACGGTAGCTCAGTCGGTAGAGCGTTCGCTCCGTGATCGGAAGGTCGTGTGTTCGAATCACGGCTGCAACTGACCTAAGTCGATAAAAAAAAAAATAGGTAGCACTGTTCCTTCGCCAAGTGCTTGGCACTTTTAGAGTGAAAGTTGCGAGTCTTTCGGATGAGACATTAAAAACCGAGGCGTTGGCACGATAATTAACCGTCACTGCTCAATTGCCCTGAATGCCGAGTAAAGGTCTAAATTTGAAGCCCTTCATCGGTATACGGTGACGTCTCTATATGAGTGAAAAATTCTCGAACGGGAAGTAAAACAACACACAATCAATCAATCATTCCCGATCTTGCTCCCTCACCCCAAGGGCCAGAAATCAAGGGAGTTAGTGACCCTGTATATGGTACACATCTCTTGGATTTTGTAGAAATGTGATTTTCAAAGACGTGTCACAATTACCAATGTAGTTCTAATGTCAAACGATATATGATTAATCCCTGGCCTGATTTCTTTTTGCATCTAGTTTTTCCTTAAAACTAGTGACTTTCATACGTCAAATTAATGCTTGCTATAGATCAAATTCAGATGTTTTACTTTAATAGTGTGTTTCATTATAAAACAAATATGTTCCTGTGGCTCAAAATTATCTTAATGCACTGAAATACATCAGACTGTGTGACAAAAGTAAAATATTTTAACTTGTATCTGTGTCAAATGTAATTTATTTCGTACAGGTCCAACTTCTGTTTAACCATTTGAGAACACAGTTTGGCTTAATATTATTACCTACAAATAACTATATTTAGGTATCCGCTTCTTAGGCCCAAAGAATCAAGGAGGGTTAGCGGGGAATGGGTGTATTTTTTTGAACAATTCATTTTCACCGGAACAACGATAAAATAACTCAGCAATAGGATAAGAGATGTTCATGTGCATTTGTTTTGTTGTTGTGTACTTCTTACCACTGACAAAAAAAACCTACTTACTCTGTTCTATATACATGTACTTCATATAATAAAGTACATGACCGGAAAATATGGGTCAAGTAAAAAAGGACTATTTGATAAATGTACTAACTATTTATAGAGCTATAAAGGAACTATAGACTGCTTGACTCTGTTACAGAACAATCAGTCTCCGAAGTAGGAGGACCTAGTCAAATCAGATTTAAGTGCATTTTTACAGATATCAATCATTAGAATTATTATGTGCGCATTTCCAGTAGTAGAGCACGGTCCAATTTTATTGGAGTAGACCTCTACATTGTCTCCGTTCTTGAGCTTATATATGCAGGAAAAAACTGCCAGCTATAGCCACGACTGACTGAAATATAG